GCTTATTGCCAAACATAATGGAAATCTACTTGTGTTCACAGAGTTTCTCTTAATGGCTCCCTGTAATTAAAGAAGCCTGTTTCTTAGCAACCTGGTAGATGCAAACTTCCTGCTTTTATACAGAATGGAAAATAGATATAGATCTGGCTTTTTGTTTTAACCCCCGACAGGTTTTACAGTTTGAATTATTAATGGGTGAAAGAGAGGAACTTTGTTTATTTATTTTTCAAAATGAGTGAATTTTGACAATACATGAGTAAAAGCCCATATATGATCTATAACAACTTAATTTCCATTCTTTTCCCTGTGACATTTTGGGCTATAATATTGAATAATTGCCTCTTGTTTCCAAAGGTTTGAAACAAGTGAGAGGACCATTTCCCAGCTGATGTCATGCCAGAGTACGGCAGCACAGAGACTCGCTTGAAATAGGTCACAGTTCATTCATTTCCAATGGAGTTTTTCACAGCCATAAATCAGTATGTCCCATTAAGATTTTACATTTCAAAATAAGGGTTGTTTTTAATGTCAAGTATAGGATCAATTTAAAATTATAGTTTTAGTTGGAATTATGACACAATACAGCGATATTTTCTAATCTTGTATTTAAACCTTTTTTATGCTGAAGTGGCAGAGCTTCATTTAGGGCTACTACGGGCTGGATTACTACAGTTTTAAACTTGGCTGGAAAGGTGTTCACTCTGCCAAGTGAGTTATTGCTCCGCTGAAGCACAACAGGGAAGTTGGCTTTGAAGTTAAAATGGAAAAGGGGCATTAACTGCTAAATGAGAAGCTATGAGACAAAGGCTAACTATGAGGCAAACTTTAAAAAAAAAAGATTTAAACATAGTCACTGCATTTAATTATATTTGAATAAACTTACCATGTGTAGTGTAATTTTTCATTTCATAAAACAAGTTTTGCATTTCAATGCATTTTATATCAAATCCCCAAACTGTGACTCAAACCATTTCAATTTCTCTAACTTAAGACTCACTCGTGGTTGATTGTGATGAAAACATTTTGCTCAGTATACTGTGATTCTGTCACACAGTACCGCCTTGAATTTCTTTTCTCATATTTACTCGCAAACATTTTTCAAGCATTTTCAATAACAGGCGTCAATCCAATCCAATCCCACTTTATTTATAAATCACTTTAAAACAACCGCATTGGGCCAAAGTGCTGTACATAAACAAAAAAAAAAAACCTTCTTACTCTCCACATCCCAACCCAGCTGTACATCCTTGATATAAGTTGTGATAAATCTGATTCAGCTGCAAAGGTCCCGCTGCTTCACCCCATGGGAGACGGCCCTAGAGGTGTTTTAATGTTGTTTATGGCTGCTGCATCAGAGCATATGTGCAGAACATGTATTTCTATGCATAAATGCTCCTAATAAAACCACATGGTTTTTTATTATATGTAAAGTGCTTCAACACTTTTCAAGGAGGAAATTCTCAACAATGTGCGGGTTAAGACGTCATGTGGTTTACAGGAGCAGTTTTTTTCCATCACTGCATTTGATATTAACTCTTGGACTGTTTTCTGTAAAAAAGTATATTGTCTTTGAGCTTCTTTTGGGGTACTCAATGCACGCCAACTCACTGCCAGAACAAAGGAAAAAAGTTATCTGTTTTTTTTAATGAAATCAGTTTTTGCATAGAGCTGGGTTGTTCTCTTAATTCGTTTGTGCTCTCAGCTCCATGCGTCTCATTGTGTACACACAAATAACTGTAATTTCATCGCCTGTGAAATTGAAGTAAGAACGAATGAATAAAGGAAGGAATAAGTACTTAACATTGTTAAAAGTTTGTTTCTGAAAATGCATGTTGGGGTGGATGCAAGGCTTTTTTTTTTCCTTTAGTTTTTTTTCCTTTAATTTTCACCCTACTTTGTTTGCCAGAACTAAAACGCAGAAAGAGACATATGTTTTTCATGTCGAACCATATCAAAAGTCAATGGGTTGTTACACATTGTGAATAATAAGATTGTGGGCATATTTCAAGCATAGGTTATTTTAATTTTGTGCACTACTGGGCTTCTTAACAGCTGGTGCTTATTTGTATTGTCTGTGCTTATGAGAGTGTGCCTGAGGTGCCATTCTGTTGGAACAGCGATCACACACCACAGAGATTCAATTCAATTAAACGTCTCTGAGGACACAGTTTTGATGAAAATGAAAAACACAAACTTTCAAACATAAAGCTTGGAATCCAGTTATGTTTCTATATTTACTGCTTGAGTAACTATTGATGTGAGTAATGCTAATCTTTTGTTTTATGCTAAGTATGTCATATGTTCATCATCATCCACCTCTTCTTCATTTTTGGGGCATGATAGATTTGTGGGGGGGCCTAGAGCCTAGTCCTGCTAACATTAGGTGAGGGGTGGGGTACATCCTGGACGGGTCGGCAGTCCATCACAGCGCCACACAGAGACCAACCGACACACTCTCACATGAATGTTTTGTAGTGCAGAGTTTAAATCTGGAAAGAACCAGCACATAGTCGGAAAGGCAACACTGTTTTTGCCATGGAGCGATGGTCCTAACCCACCACACTGCCCAGCAGCCAACAAGGAGTTCAAACTGCACCAAATGTAGCACAATTCTAACAGGTTCTTGCATCCTCTATTTATAGCCAATCACGTCCATTTCTAATTGTGGTTTCTATAAGATTAAGTGATGTTGAAGAAAGTGCATTTAATGAGTGAGAGCAGCTTTAAGCTACATTTCTTTTGTTGCTTCTCCTAACTGCTTTTGAACGTTTTTCTCCGTCATACAAATTAATTTCTTCTTGGTTTGCTTCCTTGTGGCACAACATGCTTATTACTTACTAAGACTGATAATTAAGAACAAAATTGATTCAAAACAAGGCCCATTGCTTTATACTGGGATTGCAAACCTATCAGAGGTGATCCTCCATATTTATCCGCTGCCATCTATGGATGCCAGCATTGTTGACACATTGGATGAAAGTGGCCCTCTGTGCTGTCCCTGAGGGGTTAGTCTGCTATGAAGCTGAGATCAGAGGTGCATTTGACCACAGATGACGCTAACTGAGGCACAAGCCACTGAAGAGATATTTTCTGTTTATTTCTAAGTAAATAACATCCATTTTGTAGCATGTGGAACTCTGGGTCGCCCTTCTCTGTACATGTCAAGGATGCTCTTGTATCTTCTGTACTAATGAGTGCATCAACTTTGCCATGTGATGGAACATAAAAGAGGAAATGGCCAGAGCAGTGGTAGTATTGCTTGACATGGCAAAAATAAATAAAAACCTGGTACGATTTAACATGGGGGAAAAAGATTCTCTGCTCTCCCTTGTAATGTCACCATCCTTGTAATTTAAAACTCAAGACTTTGAGGAGGATGTAGTTCACCTTTGAAATTACTGAGGAGGATGCATTAAGAGAAGCTGGGTTTTAGATTAATGGAGCAGTCGCATGGAGCTCTTTTGACTTTGAAATTAATTTCTTAGGGAAACCATTTTTCAGTTGGGTTTTAGCCAGAGAGACAGATAATTATTGGTTCTTGTGATCACAACATGCAAATGCATCAAATCCTGACTGCTGCAAACAAGGAACACTGTCATTAATAAGAACATGCTATTAAGATTATAATAAAATGCTCCATCATACTTCCTTCTGCGCTCTTTCTTAAGTATCTGAATCTTAGTGACTAATGACGTGATGGCTGGATCTGCTTTATGAAATTCTAAAGTTTTTAAAGTACCAATTAAAAGAACACATCAAAACACCACCGTTCTCTGAAGTTTTACAGATGCTGGAATAACAAGACATCCAAAGGATCTTTTACTTTTTTGTCAATGGTTTAAGCTACCAGTCTAAAACTGTTAGTTATTGTTGAGCCAAATGTGTTTATGTTAATTACTCATGAAACAAGCCGAATGCAAAGATGAAAAATGTGCATTGTGACAGCTATAAATAAAGGCTTATAAATAATAAATAAATACTTTGTATAGATGCATAACGTGATCTGCTAGTCAGAAATGTATGGATTATTTTCTATTAACTCAAGCAAGTTGCATGTGAGTGTAAACAAGCTTATAAAGTAAATCTTTAATTGATAGGCACTGTGTGATTCTTTTTACAGTTCATAATGCATGACACAGATATTCCTGATAAATAAATCATATGACTTCTTCAAACAGCAGTGAAAAACAGCCCACTGTGCTTCATTACAAATCGGTCTAAATCGTGTGATAATTAAGGGACCCGCGGAGCCAAGCATATAAAAGCAGTGTCCAGATTCAGTAAATTATATTACTGCAAGCTGCTGTGAACAATTTAATACGGTGTATATTTAGATCCTTTTTTTCATAAAGTATGTTATTTATTATTAGTTTGGCTGAGTTTCATTTAGTGTTTCTGGAAATCCAATCCAAACCATAAAGAAAGAAATTAGATCTAACAGTTATTTCCCCCTCTGCTTTGGAGAACAATCCACCTGAAGTCATAGAAATATCTTTTCAGGAAATGTTTTGATTTTTTATGTGTCATTTTACAGCACTTATTGCAATATCCTATAATGATTTAGTAAATATTTCTGAAATAGGTTTTGTACGCAGTTTTTTTAAACCAATTTTGATTAAAAGATATTTACTAATAAAATTTTGAATTTAGCGACCAAATATATCTCTAAAACAAAACAGACTGGTTGGTTGGGGAGTGACAGATTGTACAATTGCTAAACTAAATGATGTTTGACTTGCGCTAGATTTCTAGTCTGGTTATTACTAGTCATAACATGGAATGGTTTTATTTAAAATATAATTACATGGAACATTAGCTCTGATTTAATTGGTTTCCACTTTAACTATATAGAGTGTCTACCTCAGACAGAACAGATATGATGTATGCATCACACGGTGATGTCTGTTTAAAAGTTTACTACCTTTTAATTGGAGTATTTTGCTTACCTGGACTGAAGCAAGTTGTGTTGACTCAATTTTCATACAAAGTCCCCAGATTAGCTAAATGGAGGCTGCTTTGATTTCACAGGCACTGTTTTGGTGGAAAACATGCAGATTAACGGCCGGGCCCAGGACCCAGGCAGAACCATCTCCCTGACACTGCTCGACAACTATGACTATTGGGTGATACTGGAACCAGCACGCCAGAGACTCTACCTCAACAGTACCGGCAGGGTTCTGGACAGAGATGTGAGTAACTTGCACTTTAAAAAGAAAACAACTCTTTCTACAAAGCACAAGCTGCTTAGCGGTGTATCCACAGTTGTGTGTAGTGTAAAACTCTTTGAGTGGTATATTTGACTAGAGAAGGGCTATATAACTACAAGTCCTTTTACCATAGAATTTGAGTCACTAAAGCTTTATAGCCCTTGTTGTTAGTAAAGTCAGTTTAGCAGTTTGCAACATTCTGTAAGTAACAAGAGCAATGATATATTCCATATAACCTCTGTGCAGACAATTGAAACATGGTGAGTATTGATTGTTATAACTGTAGACCTATTTATAAATGTATATATGTGTATTATCTTTGTCTTTCAGCCACCCAACTACATTACCACCATTGTGGTTCAGGTTCAGTGCACCAATGAGCTGGTTGGTACTGTCATTTTGCATGAGGTACGGATTGTCGTGAGGGACAGAAATGACAACAAGCCTCGCTTTCAGCAGCCGCGCTACTATGTTTCAGTAAATGAGGTAAGCAAGCCGTTCCTCTGCCCGCCTCTGTAGGATTTGTAACTGCCTTCAGGTTAAGCTGCAGTAGCATCTGCAAATTATCCTGACGCACAGGGTTACGCAGCTGTGAATAGTCGTAGTTCAAATTGGTGATCCCTTTGTATTTCTTTGAGCTTATTCATCTGCTCAATGCCAAGGCAGGGAAAGCACATGCAACAGAGTGGACATGCCTGTCCGCAGTAAAGTTATTATATGTTTATTTTTTAACAACCATAGTGTCATAACAGAATTACACTTTGAAATCTAAAACTGATGCTTTTACGTCAGAGTCTTCTGGTGTTTAAAAAAAAAAAAAAATTCCTATATTTCCATTATGTTTTACGATTGTGTGTGCTTGCATTTATCTGTCCATTAAACCCATCTGCTATCAGTACTCTTGCTTCTTATTATTTTTTTTTCCTCATTTTTCTCTTATGAGTTATTCAGCTTTCATTGTTTAGTTTATGTGCATTGCATGTTGAAAATTCATGTAAGAGTGTGTTAAAATAGCCAAATCCAACTGCCCCTAGAGTATCGTGAGTCATTCTACATTGCTGTCAACTCTCCTGAACAAGATCTCCTTCCTGGTCCTGTGGACTTTGCTGAGTGCTCTGGGGAACAGCAGTGGTTCTGATGCTTACTTTTTACTATTCTGTCAGTGTTGCACAGAGAGATTCAGACTGCTGCTGACTGCAACATTTTTAGTTTCTGATTATCTTTTCCTCATATCTTCTTTATCTATGAATGGGATGGAAGTAGTACTGACCATATTGAATTGGAACTCTGCTGCAAGTTAATGTGCTCACAGGGGCTGTTTGAAATGTTGACTTCTGTTTTTCTTTCCCATACTTTTCTCCTACCAGCTCACACCAGTTGGAACAACTATTTTCACTGGTTTCTCAGGAAGTAATGGTGCTACAGACATTGATGATGGGCCCAATGGACATATAGAGTACAGCATCCTGTACAACCCCAATGATCCGGTATATGGACTCAGCACAGTGTCATTAAGAAGTTCTGTACCTTTATAAAGTGTCTCTGCCACTTTTAGTTCCACCTCACATTCATTTTTTCTGTGTCTCTCATTTTAAGGAATCAAACGGGACCGTAAGAGTTGGAAACACCCTTTCAGGACACATTGTTCTGGCTGAGAGGCTGAATTATGAGGAGAGAACTCGCTACCTGGTTTTGGTCCAAGCCAATGTAAGTTCACTAACCTTTTGCCGTCATATTTTCCAGTAACTGAGGGCTAAACATGGGCAGTGCTAAATGGGCTGATTGATAAGCACAGTTATCAGTTAGATAACATCAGAACTTTTTGAAAGTTTTGCCCTACCGTCTTGGACGCATTACAGGATCAGAGGTTTATACCACAGCAGTTTTTCATTTTAGCACTCCTTTGACTGCTAATCGGACTTGAGGGGATGCCTTTCCATCACATACATTGGACAGGATGACTGAGAAAAATATTGCAAAGCAAGTAATCCTAATGATGCCGTTAAGGCAGTGTGGATTATAATGAGGGCATGTTTGTTTTCCCTCCCAGGTCTAAACTCTCTAAAAATAAATGTTGACCCAGAGCAACTGCAAAGCTACTGACCAAGAATCTGGTGCCAATTAGAGAAACACCTAAGCTGGGGTCTACAAGAAGGATGTTTCATTCTTTCTACTTTGTGCAAAAGTGCAGTCTTAGTAACTTGAAACTTGTCTTGGCAAAAAGGAGTGGTTATCACATTTCATTGTAATATAGTCGTCCTCCAATCCTTCTTAGTCACTGCATTTCTTAGCATGCACATAGGTCAAAATTGCAGTTAACAAGTGAATTACTGATCTAAAAAACATACAAGTTCAAAGAAACTTTATTAATTTCTTCTAGTTATTCAATATTACTCAACAAAGCAGTCAGGACTAAGTAATGTCTTAGATTCCTGTACCCTTTTCCTGAAACATGAGAGAGTTGTTTCAGCCTTTTCAGTTCATTATAGTTATTTTTGTCAGACTTGTTCAAATATTAATGAGAATAGACGCACTATTTTATGATTGAATCGGTCTGCACAGGTATCACTGTACAAAGTAGATGACTCCATTTGGATCCATTTATTTACTCCTGATTGTCTTTTCTTGAGTTTCTTTTCCTGATCTTTACAAACACCATTTATGTTAACTGTAATTTTATATTTAGAAAAAATCTACCTTAAACTAACATATTTTTCTGTAGTTGAAATTGTGGACATCAAAAATGTATTTTTCGGATGGTATGGAATCTGCTGAGAGATACAGAGAAACATTTGACTGTTCACACTCGCATAAATTCTCAATAGCTATAGAGGAAGCAGATGAAACTGCTTGGATCTATTTGTATCACATTATGAAAATAACAAGACACGATTCACACTTGTTCTTTACACAGTTTGTGTCATTTATTTATTTGTAGCCTTAAAGTTTTCTATTAAAATGTTTTGTTGAATGTTTGGAATGACTGTTTAGACTTATTTTACCAATTCTAAAGAAAGGCAGTAATATAAAACATGATGCATAATGTGAGCAGTTGCAGGGGTCTGTCATGATTTTTGTATTTCATGCTATGGCACTGCATGCCCCTGCACACACAGCAGCCACGCTTTGGGACCTGGGACTGTTTGTTTATTTTCCAGGACCGCGCTCCATATCCCCCCAATAGACTAACAGCCACCGCGACCCTGACTGTGGACGTTCTGGATGGAGATGACCTCGGTCCCATGTTCTTGCCCTGTGTTTTGGTGAACAACACTCGTGACTGCAACCCCATCACCTACCGTGTTGCTATCCCTGAATTCACTGAACCGGTAAGGAACAGAAAGGCAGGCTAGGGTGAGCACATTGCTTTTCATTAAGGTCTACAGGTTTCCCCTTTTTTTTTACACAGCAATCGGTTATTCCTATTTTCATTTCTCATGTAAAACCATTTTCTGTTTGTGTGTGTGTGTGTATGCTCATGCATTATGCACATATGATCCAGACTTGTCAAGCACCATTTTAAATACCCAAATTTTCCGCTTACACCTTACCTTGCTGCCTCAGCTGAAGGCAGAGTAGGTTTTTATGTCACTGCCTCAGCATTTCTATTCCGGGGGGAATTTTTGGCCTGTTTTACCCACAATCAGTGCTGTGGTGAGAGCTGACTTAGAATGACAGCAAAGCACAACTGGAGTTCACAGAAGCTCGAAAAAGACAACGAGAATTCACATTTATCAATAAGTAGATTATGTTCTATTTTCAAACAGATAATAGAACATATGTCTCATATTTGGTGAAGATTTTTATTCCCTAAATTAATGTAGAGATTAAATGTTCTGACTCTCCCTCCTACACTCCAAACAACCAATTTATGAGGTGAAATTTAGAAACAACATAATTTCCCTGACGTGGTGATGAATTCCAATGTAAATGCTCTTATGTGTGGGAAATGTGAAATTATTGTCAGATTGTCACATCATCTCTGTCTTTCCAGTGAGTGGGTCTTTATAAAGGATAACTGTCTTTTTTTCTGTCTTATTTAATTTGAGTGTGATTTATAAAAGTGCAATGTGTGTTTAACTTTCAGTCAATCACTGAAAACAGTGTCAGGAGAAGGTATAAATTAAGTAAACGTGCAGGAATTCAAACAATGGAATTTAGTTAATTTTCATATAACTAACAGATCAAGAGAGAAACCCCCAAACCTGATAAGGAATTACACTGAATGCACGTGTATGTATAGACCGAGACAAAGAAATAGAAAACAAGCGTGTGTATTTTGTGAACATGTATGCTGGTGGATGAATATAGCTGTACTTGAGGTTGCATAGTGAGTTACAGCTGTTTGTTCAACTTTCAATTTAGAATTTGCACCTGTATAATTTATGACATAAGGTTTGCAGGCTGCTAACTGTGCAGCACTTTGCAGAATGCTAAGTATGCAGGAGCAATGCCTTTAGGCTTTGCCCAAAAGGGTTTTTTAAAGAAAAATTACCTTTCAATTATAATTCTTCTGCCCTTTCCTGGCTTGGGAGCAATGCCTTTAGGCTTTGACCAAATAATAATTTGGCCAAATTGGAATTGGAGAAAAAAAGGGGAAAAAAGCCATGTATCCTATTGGATTGCTCTACAGCCACTTGCATGATCACTTCATGATCTTATGGATTGTACGAACAATTTATTGGCATATTTGATAAAATGGTATGAATGTCATACATTGGTGTGCTAGTTAAGATTTTACCAATTTTTCTCTGCAGTGCATCGTCACTTCACTTAATGAGATTAAACTTTATGGGACCATTTTGTTCAGGTTTAGCTCTGTTTCTTTTGTCTTTCCCATGCCATTACATTTGTTCAGCAATTTTGTTGTAGATTTACGTTTGGCTTCAGACTGTGTATACCAAAATATTGTTAAGATGTTCATGGTTGACTCAGTGATTGCAAATTGCATTGAACAAGTCAAGATGGCAACTGCCTGAAAGGTTTGTTGACAAGCTAATGATACTTCTTGTTGAATAGTGAAATAATTCTAAATTGTTTTGAAATGTATTGGCAAGACTTTCCAGTCACAATTCCCTCCCTGATAAGGTTGCCAATGTTTTTTTACTTGGCGTTGAAACAAGCTGCCAGAAGTTTTACTTTTAAGCAGGAGTTAATGCTAATGGTAAATTACATCTGACACGCTTCAGCTGCTTGCTTCTTTCTCTTTTCAATCATATGTAAACAATGGAAGTGTATTTGGTTTCTTACCTGCTGTGTGTGCATATTGGTTTAATTTTTGTTAAATGAATTACGACATGATGAAATACTGTGTGATGGCCTCGTGACCTGTCCAGGGACTACCCCCTCATCTCACCTCCTGGCAGCTGGGACAGATTCCAGCCCTTACCTGCGTGTCTTTGGCACCAGAGTGTAAATGGATGTACCAGCTGCCATTTACAGTGGATCTTTCTCACATCCCTCCTGATTAGAGTAAAAGCCTCACTGTTGCTGCCCTTCTGTCATTTGTATGTTGGATTTATACCACAGCATCCATAGTGACGTTTATTTGCACTGCTCAACCAGTTGATATGTGCCAAACGTTAGAAAAACTGTGAATTATGTAAACCTTAAATTTAGACCTGGCTTTGCAGTGAGCAGTCAGTCTGTCTCTTCTCCTCTCTTCCAAGCAACTATTATGTGAACGTGTCTGTCCACTGGGAGCTTTGCCTTTTCATAATTGATACGTTTGTCAAAATTAATCACAATTGTGAGACAGGTATTATTGAGTTTATCTGCCTTTATTTATTTATTTTCTTGCACTGTACCGGTGTAGTTCAGGCTCTGGAGGCCCCAGTATAATGACTGCTGGTGGAAGGAATTAAAGCTAATCATCATTGTGCAGAGCAGGAGGGATTTGCATTAGTGCACCTCCCCACATTGTAAAAACGAAAGGGACGATTGTGGAGGCGTGTAAGGATTAATCCACAGCTGAAGGATAAAAATAAAACCCCACGGGAACGAGTTCCTATGCCGGGGACCTGTTGGGAAGTTGGGCCTTTTTGCATATTGGCAGGCACAGCAACAGAGATGGACGTATCTAACAAGAGGAAACAACACATTCTTTACTGTCAATTATTTGATATACTCCCTTTCAACTAAAGGTTTGAGTAATTCTGGAGAAATGTTGATTTATGAATATGCAAAATAATTAGAAATGTCCTACAGAACCACACCATGTAATCATTGATGAGCATCACTATTTAGCATAGTTATGGTCATACTGTTGAGAAATAAGTCTCAGATCTCAGTGTTTGCTTCATTGATAACCATAATAATTAGCTAAGAAGCGGGGTTATTAATGCAAGGAATTGTACCAGTAAAAAGGTTGTAAATGGATGATAATTTATTAGATTGACTTTACTTTAGATTTCTTATTGTTTGTTGAAGGAATGCCCACCTGCGTTTTTTTACATTTCTGCTATTTTGGTTATTTGATAGTTGAAGTGCATGAAATTAAAAAAGTTAAATGAAGTATCAACAAGTGAAGCTGGGCTAGTGCCGGAGTACAGCAGCTCATCTCATCCCCTTTAAACACAGAGGTCAGCTTATAGGTCCGGTGGAGAGAACAGATCGGCTTCTGCAAGGACTGGAGGCAAAGGGTTGTAAATGATGTGCTATTTGTCCTGAAACACTGCAGCAGCAAAAGTATTGAAAACGAGGGGCGGGAAGTATTTTATGGTGTAGATGTCTTTTTCTTAGGCAGAATTGTCCATACCAGAGGATTTACTATTAACATAAAACAGCACCCCAAGTTTTATTTAATTCTCTCTCTATTTTGGGACGGTTGCTTTAAAACTCAATTGAGGAAAAAGTAGATGTATCAGGATCTTATTTTCTCATGTTGTCTCTGATTCCTCCCCCACTCTCCGTGCAGAGCAAATTGAATCCTCTGAATGTTACCCCACCCATCCGGGCTGTGGACATGGACAGAAACATACAGCCCCCATCAGATAGACCAAGAATTCTCTATTACATTCTTGTTGGTATGTTCCTCACGTATCTTGATCGATTATACATATTTAATGCACCTTGGTTTGGTTGGTTTGTCATGAATTGTCCTTTACATTTTCACTTGTGCTCTTGATGTAACCTTAAACTGTCTTCTCTTTTATTCCAGGTCATCCAGCCACATATCCAGAGTATTTCTCCTTGAATAGGACAACTGCAGAATTGAATGTTCTAAGGCCGATTAGCAGGGACCTGTATCAGAGGTTCACGCTAATTATTAAGGTAACACATAAAGTTATTTTAGACATTTTTCATTTAATTTCCATTTATGGTAAACAATTGTTGGGCTTCTGTAAATAACTTCACAGTAGGGTCTGATCTGCTCTGTTTGGAAAGCACTGTGAGATAACTGTTGTGATTTGGCGCTATATAAATAGAATTGAATTGAATTGAATTTATTGTAAATCTGTTATTGAATTTTTTTAGTCGTTTAGATCTAAATATTCTGTCTAATATTTTCTTTATATCCTTTATCACTGTTACGTGATGGGAAAAAATGGCAGTGTAGCACAGCGTAATTATTTTTTTCATGTCCCAGCCAAAAGTAAATTATTGATTGCTCTTATTCCTCCAAATTAGGCAAACAAAGCTTTTTTCAGTCAACATGATATCATTTTCATTATTGATGTTTATTTATGTTTATGTCACCTCAAGTATAATTTATATTTTGGTGGTAAGGATGCACCCTCACCTGCTTTGCCTCGATACCCTCAGTCATTAAGGCCATTAGCCCTATGCTTAAGGAACATGGGAGAAAATGAATGAATGGAATTATATATGGACTTAAAATGAGGATAGGCAGCAGACCCTCATGAGTCTTAATTTAGAGAAAATCTTGCTTGCTGCTGGTGCAAAGAAACAATCCTTGTGAACTTTTCATCGACTCGTGTCTAACCTTCAGAAACCTTTGAGCAAATTATAATTTGCTATTTACCAGGGAGACTGTAAAGCAAGGGAATGAAAGGAAGACCTTTTTTCCAGAGGAGGAAAGCCATATTGATCAACTTAGAAGCATCTGAATGCGTTACGGTGAATTGAGGAAGGGAGATGGTTCAAAGGGGAAAAAGAAAAAAAACAAGATGGATGGGGGATGTGTTCGGTGGATGCTAGGAGGCTTATCTATCTGAGTCATTCAGAGGAGGAGCAGCTGTTGCTTTAGGGCGCAGAAAAGCAGAAAAATGAGAATTGAGAGAGCACATCACATTTTGTGGATTTGGAGTACATAGATAATGTTTTTTGTAAACATGTGGTGAGTGGTCCAGAGACACTGAGGCATATTTCAGAAAACACATCTGTTGTTGTTTAATAGTCATCACTGATCCTGATAGAGCACATCCTGCAAGATAACTAAAAGAAAATGAAGACAAGTGGGACAGTCAGATGGGAATGGAGAAAAATAGTAATTAGAAAAAAGAGAAGAAGGGGAATGTAATATTGGTATGACACTTAAATAATGAAGGAATCAGGATAGGCGAATTAAGATTGATTGATACACACTGACTTTTGATGGCAGTGTGTGCTCATGCGGGCCTCTGTTTGAATTGTACAGAACAGATCATTTAGCACTGCTTCCCTGAAATGGGTACACCCAAAAAGAGCTAAATCACTAGGGAACAATGTAATGCTGCTCCTCGTCTAAGCTCTCGCAGACAGGAATGTGTGTGTATGTGAACTTGTACGTGTATGTGAAACAGATTATGTCTAGAAGTGTACATCATGTCCATCACTGACGGCACCTCCCAGAAAATAGGCTATGGCATTGTATTATAGATTGAAGGTATGAGCCTGAGCTTATAGGAACATAACTGGATATCCCAGAGATATACAGCAGGAATAATTTACAGTGGCATATTCACACAGCATTACGAGCAGAATGTTTTGGCTCATATTTTTTTTGCCATTCAGATGCACAAGTGTTCACTTGTGCCGCAATCTCCACTCTGCAACACAAGGCCAGTGAAATTGAGCTAATATGCAGAATTAGTTCAGGGTTATGGATTAAAGTGTTGCCGCCTTCTCCATCCGGATTTCAAAGCGTTATAGTTTCTGAAGCCTCCCAGTGTGGGTGCAACAGTGACATATGTGCTTAAAATGGGAGAGAATGTAGTGAAAGCCCCACCGGATCACATTCATTTCACTTGGTCTCTATGATAGTGTCATACAAAACTACAAGTTTATTTTATGGCCCTTTACAGAGTCTCTAAATATTTTTCCATCATATTTCTTGTACTTTTTTTCAAACACACAGCTGAAACAGTCACCTTTTTCATTCGGACTATTGTATCATGGTAATGAGACAGCTCTATTTCCCACCAGCTTTACAGGAGAATGAAGACAAAACTGCAAATAACCAGTTGTCCAGTTAATTTAAGTGGATTTTGAGCGGACATGGGTAAACAGTCATGTGGAGAACATAAGCAGTCGAAAGCATCGACCCTAGTATAATTTCAGCACTATGGTAAATTTTCCTGCAGTGATTTGGCTTATATTAACTTCCCTTTTTTTAAAGCTTTGTTTAAAAAATTAGTGGGTCACAGGACACAAAGTCTTGTCCTAAATGTGTATTAGTGAATATCCACTGAGTGTGCTGAGAAACCTAAAATATCGACTGTGGCCTCTGGAAGCTAAGTCAACAGATTATGGCAAGGTTCCTTTCATTGAATTGCATGTTGTAGTATATTTTCTTTTTAGTGCCTCTAAATAAAGCTGTTTGATTCTGTGTAGTATTTTTTTTTCCATTTATTTTTTTCTTATTATGTAGAAACCTGCCAAAGTTGCAAATCCCTCAGGCTGTGCTATCGAGAGTAAATGTCTCCCAAAGATGATGCAGCTCCCAAAATACCTCGTTTGTAGTCCCGGCTCTTTGTCCTGCTCTTGTCAACACACCATGAAACACATTTGCATAGTCTGCCTGCTGGCTATTTTGACACCTCTCAAACACTGTCACTTTTGTACAGTGAGCTGACAGAAAACGGGCAGAAGAGCTGCAGCAAAGTGTTGTCTACAGATTTGATTATATACATTTTATTGTAAAGAAACTATCATATTTTTATTTCTTTTGTCAGAATTTCGGCAGAATGACTTTGCAGCCCAAAAGTCTTGTTGACGTGTTTTTTTTTTGTTGCTTTTTCTTGTAGGCTGAGCAGGACAACGGTCACCCCCTGCCAGCTTATGCTGACCTCATTGTCGAAATCCTGGATGAGAACAACCAGGCACCCTATTTCGAGTTTGCGTCCTATCAGGGCTACGTGAGTGAGTCCTCCCCAGTCGGTACGACTATCTCAGCCAGCGCCAACCTGAGCGCCCCACTTGGAATCATCGCTTTGGATAATGACATTGAAGAGGTAGACTGAGACAGGAATTCTTTACCATGCTCAATGAACAGTTGCCTTCAGGCTCGGGGACTGCATTCATCAAACATTGATTAAATATTTATATTTGCATGTGCTTACTGTGTGTGCTACCAGAAAGCATCATGTTCATTCACTTTCCTGCAATACCTTTTTGTATTTTTCCTGTTGTAGCTGGATCCTGGTGATACACCTGTAGGTAAACTGGGTGCTGTTAGATTAAATGACACACACACACACACACATTTTAATAAAGGGATGCCCTGACCAAATGACTTTGCTGTTAATCTCAGATTTAAGTCATTTTGAATATTGGGAATCTTTTGATGCAGAGTTTAATCCAGTGTTTATCCGGGACTCCATCATACGCAGCTGCACTTTGCAGACCTAATAACTTAAAGTAGGCCGGTATTGCTATCTGTGACACAAATTGAATTTAGGGATTTAATAGCTTAGTAGCTCAGTATAAAACCTGCATCACACCTGTAACCGGCTTCATTCAATATTTGATATATTGTCCTTTGGAGTTTTAATATCTTGGGAGAGAGAGGCTTTTGCTTGATCTCCACTTTGAACAATATGCTTATAGTTGATGGCTTTTTTCATTCCAATCTTTTGATGTACCCAAAAATGACTCTCTTTGCTCACACAACATGATTTCAGTGTGCATGTCATTTAAACTGGTGCCTGCCATCTGTCACCCTACTGTGCAGAGCACGGTTCCAGTATTTTGCACAGTTTTAAAATAACTGGCTTTGACAGCTGCAATACCTGCATAAGTGTAATAAGTTACAATTAACAAATGATCTGAGGTTTATAGGCTTATCTGACCAATTCTTATCCGTTTGAAAAACCTTGCTTTATCAGCTTTATCCACTTTTTGCAAACAAACAGGGCATCCCTGATATGAATGCATGCGAAAACACAAATAAATCAAGATCATACATCAATGCTGGAGATGACTTCAATTCCTAACTCAATTAGAAGTTTGTAACTTCATTATGGAGATTTTTTAAAGCACAAAAAGAATTAAAAGAAATACACATAAAGGATATCTCCAGTAATGATGTAAATGCGTGAAATATAATTAAACTAATGCACTGACCTTTTTATCTTAGTGGGTGCCGTTTATGTAAGTTTGCAGTGTTCTGCTTTTTCTTTCCTGGTTGAATTCAGATTTATGTTCCTGTCAGTCAAACCCTATGCAATTATTCTTATGATTATCTACACTCACAAGAACAGCATTTCATTAATTGATTGTAAAGTGTATACCTAGGCGGAGGAAATGTGGGAATTTTTTTTTTTTTTAAACAGCCTTAAAACAGCCTTGCTTTAGTATTTTCAGCCACCACACGAAGACGACTGGACTCTTATATCCTGTGATGGCTGGAAGCACAGAGTACACACACACAAAAACAAATGATCTCTGCCTTTAGTTCATCTTTCAAAATACCCCTTCACTGGAGAAGATTAACAAATCAAAGTGGAGACAGAGATAAAACAAATCAATAAGCCACCCAGTTCCAATGTTTACCAAACTCTTAAGAGGACTCATTGATGGACGTCAATCGAAGCCGACTTTCAGCAACGGACCACTCTGGACTTAGAGGTTTATTTGAAACACAGCAGTGGCGACTCATCTTTTGTGAATGGTTCTGTTTTTTGTTTCCCTTCTGAACAAAAGGTCTCACAGCTATGTATTACAGATATTTTTTAAACTCTCACAGGGCTGCACAGTGGTGCGGTGGTTAGAATTGTTGCTTCACAGCAAGAGGGTTCCTGTTTCGAATCCCCGGGGGAGTGGAGGTTTTTCTGTGTGGTGTTTGCATGTTCTCCCCAGATATGGGTGGATTCTCTCCATACTCCGGCTTTCTCCTACCATCCAAAAACATGCATGTTCGGTTAATCGAAGGCTCTAAACTGCCCATTAGGGGGAATGTGAGTGTGTGTGCTTGTTTGTCTCTGTGTGACCCTGTGATGGACTGGCGACTTGTCCAGAGAGGGCCCCGCATTTCGCCCAGTGACAGCTGGGGAAGGCTGCAAGCGCAAGCCATTATGGTTCCTTCTTCTGCTTCCTTTTAGACTTATGAGAAACCTACCAGCAGATTTATTTTAAAGAATATTTTGATGTCTCATAGTTGAAAAATGTTATATATATAATTTCATGAAACATTAAAATATTCTTCTTTTATCGGTTTCCTCAGCAGCACAGCTGCAATTTCGTGAAAAGTGAAACATTAATTTCTCCATGGTAACAACTTTTTCCTCTCCTAGACAAAAGACCCTATGTTGAAAATATCCCTGGATGACTACACCACAATCTTCGGCCTGACCCCAACAGGCATAATCCGCTACCTAAGGCTCCTCAAACCTGTGGATCGGGAGAAGCAGATGGCCTATACTTTCACGGTTAGTCTCCCACTCAGTGTAACTATCTGCGAGACAGCCAGAGTGCTGACCTATATTTTTTATTTTGTGGATATTAATAGAAGTCACTGGTTACCGCTAAACCGAGAGGCATTTGGTGAGATGCAAAACTGACTTGACACTTTCAGAGCAATATGACCTTTTTTTGGGTGGACAAGGGGTTGTGAAGTTAGACAGTCTGTTCACTTGTTTTTCTCAAACTTCCAAAGACAGACCAAAATATATTAGACCTTTGTTATTTTGTGAGGAAAAAGGAAAAAACAAAACATTGCCCATAGCTTGTTATTTACATTTTGTGCTTTTGAAACTGCAGTAAAAGGTGAGCTGATCATTAAGGTTTTAGACGGGTTCATTCTTTTCTTGATTTTTATGCAGTTGGACTTTAAACTTCAAACAGAAGGTTGCAGCAGATTTTTTTTTAAAAATGTCCATGTCACATTAAAATGAATGAATGCAGCTAACTAACTAACTACCAAACTTGTGTTTTTGAGCTTGATATAGAAAATATGTGTTTCCCATCATTCTGACATGAACCTGTGGCTGATGAAGCAAATGGTCTAATTTGTGTTTTATGTGGGACAGGAGGATTTCCAAATGTTAGAGAGCATTTTTAGCACGCAGTCTTAGAACTGCAGAGGTTTCTTCAAGGGGATGATTATGTCCACTGCATGTTTTCATGTAGTACAGGGTTTGTTTAGCCAGGTAGAAGTGATTGGACATCAGCAGTTTCTGGGCGTATGATGCATTTGCTTATTGTGTGTGTTCGGAGTTCACATGTTCTGCTCTGTGTGTGTTTAAGCAATTTGATTTTCTCTGTGAATTGATATAATTTGAGCTAAAGCGCTGGATAAGTGCTATGGAAGCTTTTAAGCTTGTGATTCTTTCTCACAACACTTTAGGGGGGATTGCGGCTGTATGGGTTGACAGTTCATCGTTGTTTGTGTTTAGATTTCCATTGCATTCACAGCTTTTCAGAGGGATTGATTAACTCTGCATCACATGCATCCCAAAGGTTTTCTCTGTTATGCATGTCTTGGCATCACTTACAGCTTTTGTTGCTGTTATGAGTGTTGGTTCATGGCTGGAAAACATAAATACGGCCTTTTAGATTTGTGCCGTGTGGTTGCACTTAGACACCCATTTGTGTCAATTTCCCATCGCTCGTTGTTAAAGATTTTAGGCTTTCAACCAACACAAACAGACTTGCATGTAGTCCTCCAAAAACCTGACCTCTCGTAGCCTTCACAGACGAAACTGCATGTTGGTTAAATCCTGACTGATTGAAAGCTGGCTCACGCTGAGATGGGCACACAAAAACTCATGCCATCAGTGCATCAATAACAAAAAAATAAAAAAATAAAAACAACAATATTGGAACAATAACATAGAAGCACCGATGAAACAGAGTTATAATAGCTGCACTGCCAGGCTGAATATGATATAACAATATGCTCACCCACTTATTTCTTGCTTTGATTAGGAAAAACTTTACAAAAAATTGTAACCAAATCAGTACCTAAATCAGACGGTACACATGTATTTCATGTTTTTTTTCCCCCTTTTTAATGACTACTGAGCATAGTTAATGTGAGTATGGTAAGCAATGTCATATGTTCCTTCAGCAGGACCACAGGAACTCACCTCTGGCAGGACACAGCTTTGGGCTGACCTGACTGGGTGTTTTTCAGCTAGCACTTCATGTCACAGTGAGAGACAAATCAGTCCACTCAGTGGATGGGACTGTTCTTAAGGTTTGGAATCGGCAAGACAATAAATCAAATTTAGCTGATAGTTAGAACTGATTGAACTGAGAGACACAGAAGCTCCTAAATATAAAGGCTTTGAACAGCTCTTCCAACTTCTTTCATTGGTATGTTGATTTTTCTTTTCTTTAACTGAAAAACTTACATTTTGTCATGCTGACAGGTGATTTGATGAGAATATATTTTTTTTAAACGTGTAGAAACAATTGTCATTCTGTGCTATTATTGGTTAAGCTTTTCTAAAAGGATTTTTTCAGGCAATGCTTTCCTTCTGAAAAGTTCGTGTCAAGTTATCTAATCTTGGAAATCTGTTTACGACATAACTGGGTTGAAGCTTTAAAGTTTGTGTCCCGTCCTCTCTGAGGTCGATTAATTTCGCCTACTTGTTGTTGAGAAAAAAATCGTTGAGTAAATACTGACCTGAAATTAAATGTGCGATACTCAAATTTAATGTGCGATAACTGTAAGTAATATAGACAGACTGAGAGGAAGTATCCACTTAACTCATATATTAGCTTTCATAGATTATTATGTTTTGACTGTTTCTGGCTGTGACTGACAAGATTAGAAGGGTGAACAGGCACTTGTTGGATTGTTTACTTTAATCAGTTACAGCATACATCAGTAAAGTATCAGTAAATTCAAGTCTGCTGTCCTCCCTGTTTTCCAGCTACTGGATGCTCTTTTTGGATTAGCTGCAGAACAGGAAACATTTGATAAGGAAAAATAGCATTGTTGCAAAAAGTTATCATGTTTCTCTGTCAATACACCTCTGATGCAAATGTTTTATTTTTTTCCACAGCCGCTCCTTTCTGATTTACAGCACAGCTAAGCGTGACATTTATATCTCGGTGCTGAATGAGAATGTGGGAACCATAGCTGTTTTCGCAATGCAGGGAACCACATATTTCTTGCTGCTGTCACAGTTCTTGTTTAGATTTGTTTCCTCTATCTACACTCCTTTTGTTTTTTGTGCTCAGTCCATTTTCTGCCACCAGAGCTGCCGCTGACTAAACTAAAACTACCCTCTTCTGACTTTAATGGAATTGAGCATGGACATATACAGAGGCAAAGTTCAAGGGATGCTGTTGTTGTGATAAAAAAAAAAAACAACCTAAATCTCAATGCTAAGCCAGAAAACTTGAAATCTTGAAAATATACAAGAAGATTCATCTGAAAATGTGGGCTTTACATGTATAGAGATTCTTTCCTCTTTAGAAAAATACTTCTGTTTGTCGTGTTTACAGATGGTGGCATCAGATGGTGTCCAACAGAGTAGCCCAGTAACGGTCAACATCCTTGTAATTGATGCCAATGACAATACCCCCACGTTTGCTGAGGTCTCCTACAGTGTTGAAGTCTTTACAGACATGCAGCCAGGGGAGACGGTTTTACAGGTAATCAATTCAATGATCATTATCTCTCTTTTCTTACTTCCCTTGGTTCCTCTGAACCTCCATTTTTTCCCTGTTTTTTCTCTGAGTGCAGTTAATGGTTAAAAAGGTCAACACTGGAGCGCATTATCTTGGTGGATGAACCCATATTTGCCTTTGTCTCATCTTGAATAATAGCAGGAAGGTCACAGAAGATGTTTGTTGTCTGTGTTGTTAGTCTCCAACTCATGGTAATTCATTTAGAAGGTTCTCAGTGGTGACTAGGCATTAGTCCTTCCAGTCATAGAAAAAATGTTTACCCTAAAAGTTATATTTTGTATTGTCTAATTTGATTTGTTTTTATGGATTAGAACAGTGCTTGGTTTTGTTTTGATCTCAGAGCAATGCTGACTTTAAAGGTCAAATTATTTTTGTCCAATTTTTTCTCTACAAATATATATTATGTTCACAAATAAAAATCAAAGTCTTGTATATGGGAATGTGAAGGCACGCATGCATGCACAGACTTGCTCAAAATTTAAGCCCACGTAACCAATTTAATCTAAAGTTCAATCATTCCCTTTTCCTTAAATTGGTATATGGTGATGATCTTTTCTACTTTAAGTTGATCTGTCCTCTCGACTCGCCCTCTCCCACAAAAAAGTCAAACGTCCTAAAAGGTCAAGTTTAATATTTTTTTCCTTTAAAAAAAGCCATTTCATCCTCCCTGAAATAAGGCCAGGGGTCACAGGGTGTCTGCTGTGACCGCTTAACCGATTTTATAAGCTGTTTATGAGAGGACGAGGCCCCCAGAGAATGCTGCTGCTTATTTGATGCTACAATTTTTACTCTGCTGTCAGGAGCCTGAAAAAAGAGGTCAGGTAAGCTTGGATTAAAGTTTCAGCGCCTTAAAGAAAAAAAACCCCACTACACTGTGGAAGGGTTTGTTATTAAAAACAAGCAACGTGGCCTAAAATGACGAGGAACAAGATTAACCTGAAACTAGAAAATTTGTAAAGAAATTGTGAGGGGGGCTACCTACTGCCCATCCAGGAACCTGGGGCTGGCTTCCTGGGGCCCTCAAAAGCGGCCTGGGAGCCTCTAGAGGGGTTGGACACTGAATATTTGGGCTCTCTGTAATATGGGCTTGCGCCTATGAAAGGGCCTGATGGAGAGACACAGAGCTGGAGGGACCTGGCTGAGCTCTGGGGCCCGCTGATTGGGTGGGCAGGACGGGGGTCACATTGGCTGAAAACTGAGAAAAAGACCTCAACAACGAGGTATGACATGCTTGGGTCCGGTCCCAGGCTGGGTCCAGTCCCAGACCGGATGTTTTGAGGCCCCACAGTTTGGTCGTGATAGGCCAGAGTTTGACTTTTTTGGGCGAACGTCCCCACAGGCCTCTCAGAGGCTTTAACGAGCTGAGCTAGAGGGAGGGGCAGATTGTCGGATCTCCTGAATTTCACTAAAACCTCAACAGCGACTGCGGGCAAACGGTGCGAGATCTGGCCTCGTGGCTCCGATATGGCGGAGGCCCATCTTTCGTGACCCATTCAATGTTCGAACGAGGTCTCTCCTATTTTTTGGGCCCGTTTGCCAGCTCCCCCATTCATTCCTGTGGCCCAAATTTCGCCACTTTTTCGCCATTTATTCCGAAACGCCTGGAATTTTGAGAAAGTTTTGAACAAGCACGCGTCCCGTGGTCAGGTCGGACGCGCGTGCTGATTTTGGGCCCGATCCGCATAACCGTGTTACAGTGACAAGTTACGCGTTGAAAATCGTGACGGAAACGGGAGAACTATAAGTGACGGAATAAATATGCAGGAGAGTAAAATGGGGGCCTGCCGCTGGCAGTGGCCCCCCTGATTAAAGTAGTACAAGATGGAAGAAAAAATATGTATTTATATAATTGAAGCTTATCTTTCAAAGAAGATTTTCTGAAAGATGTCTTATGAATCATTAAGTAAAATTGTATAAAGGAAAGCACACGAAAGATCATTAGGATCAGTAACCTAAAAGTGTTTGACCTGATATGAAACCATGGAAACTCATCGGGGGACTGAAGGCAGTCACATCCCTCTACTGAGGGACATTTGCTGCTTGACTGGTTCATTAACCATGTTAGCAGTGAACCTGATTTAAAACTACAAAGTGCAGCAAAGGAGACAGACATACTGTGCATTTCCATTTCTCTCCCCCCCTCTGTTCTCTCAGTTAACAGCAGCAGATGCTGATGAGGGACTGAATGGTCTGGTGACGTATGAGATACTGGCTGGTGCACAAGGAGATTTCATCATTAATAATCGAACTGGACGCATCACTGTGGCGCCTGGTATCATCTTAACTGTGGGGAGATCTTATGCACTAACTGTCAAGGCTTCTGATAATGCACCACAGAGCCAAAAAAGGTAAAGTTACTCAAGGTAAAACTCTTAAGTGTGAATGTTCTACATAGACCAAGTGAGTAATGTTTATCATGGTGAATAATGTGATGTACAGTTAATGTATTTAAATGAGGCGGAAGCATTCTTTCTTAGCTTACTGGCAGGAAGACAGATTAATAACTATCTTGTCAAGGCGTTCAAGTACTTGGCATGCATTGTCTTTTAAGACCTACTTAAAATGCACTTCACAGATTAGCTTCCAAATTACTCAAATGTACTCTTCTTGGCTGAATAATACAATGGAGAGGCTATAATACTGACAAGTTTTTTTGAGTGAATGTATGAAGTGCTTCATACAGTGTCCCCGTTTTTTTCAGCTGCTCACAATGACAGCGAGCTGTTGCTGGCAATGAATTAGGCCTTGAGATATCAGATCCAAATATTTACACAGATCTTTCTTATGAAAATAAGAAAAAGATATCTCACAAAGACAACTGAAAAACAAATTAAGATAATTCCCTTTTCCCATGTGTGTCTGCAGAAAGTTTAAAACAAGAGCCCCTTTTTTAAGAGGTCTTGAAGGAAATGTAAATAAAAGGTTAGCCTTGTTTGACTCTCAAGCACAGGAAGAAACTTTTATGATAGCATCTTGAACTAGGAAAAGTCTACAATCAATATCTTTTATAGTCCGGCTTTGATGCAGCCTTTCATCTCTATTATTCAATGTTTCATGAATAAAGCGCATCAGTGAAGCTCAACAGGTTGTCAAACTGAAACTGATGCCGGCAGTTCACTGGTGTGTTTCTGTCTGCCAGGAGCTCCATCACTACAGTTTACATTGAAGTCTTGCCTCCCAATAACCAGAGTCCCCCACGCTTCCCCCTCTTCACCTATAACCTGGAGGTCAGTGAAGCCATGAGGATTGGAGCTATTCTGCTTAATCTGCAGGTGGGACACAAAAACACCCCTTAACTCGCAGTCTTTCCTTCTTTTCTTTATTGGCCATATTTCTTTTTTACTTTCACCATATGTTTTAGGTTATTGTTGTTTCTTTTAATCCTCTTTTTACCCACATTTATTTTCTAAGTTTTTTTTTTACTTGCTTTTACAAGAGACTTACATCTTTCCTCTTCATTTGTCTTCATCTGTCCTTCATCTTGATGCTTTATGTTGTTCCTCCAGGCCACAGACAGAGAAAATGATCCCATCACGTACAGAATTGTCAGCGGGGATTCCCAGAAGGTCTTCAACCTTTCTGAAACGTAGGGGCAAAGTTTTTCTCCAAAGTTCAGCTGCATGTGTGTCTTTGATAAACATGAGGCCATGCATATATATAATAAATATGTGTGTGTTTACGTGTGTGTATAAATGTTATATCTAGGCTTTTCAGAGATCCAGTTCAAGACCATTAGAATTAAATTCACTGTAATGAATGTGCATTACTAGCAAGAGCAGATCAGGTACATGAATTTTATTGGGGTTGTTGAGAATTTTTATAAAAAAAGAAAAGGTTCTTCTACACACTGACTGTTTTATTAAAAAAGTCCTACTTAGCATGTGATTCAAGAGTTTCAAGCAAAAGTGTAAATCAACTATAAAGTCCTTTTCTTTCATTTAATGTCTTTGCAAATATAATATGGGGTATGGATCATCATACTGTGCTTCACCTTGCTGAACAAAAAATCGTTCTTTAGTTGTTATATTCAAGATCAGATGTATATTAGTTTTAGGTTCCAAATGCGAGATGCATTAATAAAGAAAGGACATATTCTTTTAATCATGCATCACACAGTAATTAGTGTTCTCATAAGTGTTCCCATTTAACATGAAATGTATCTTGAAAAATAACAATGGATGACATTGACTTTCACTTCACTTTCAGGTGTATAGAGCTGAGACACAGCTGAGATATAAGATCAAAGGAACTAAAATTATATTTGAATACAGTTTCATTTGAGGTTTTCTTCCTGCTCTCTCTCCAGCTAATGTCCCCATTTTGGTTTAACTTTTTTTAGATTGAGGAAGTAAATATTCACAGTAAAAATTGCAACACTAATGCCACAGTCGGCAGCAGTGTTAAAAAACACACTTACAGTATGTTGTCTAACTGTAAATATGGAGCTCGGGAAAGGCATAAAAATACACAAAAGGTTGATACTTTTTCTCCATCCATTAAAAAAGCAAGCAAATAGAAAGAGAAGAGACTCCGGGTGCCAGGAACAGCAGGACCTTGCCAGGCATGTTTCTCACTAATTGATTGAAGCCTATTTTGTCTGCATTCTTAGTCTCCCAGCTCTGAAAGGACGAGCCGTGCACCCGCACCGTGCACAATTAGAATAAAGGCTGGCTGCTATTGTTGGCTTTACTAATGCAATCTTTTAAACCAGATGTGACAGAAATCTTGCTAAAACAAATAGACATATTTACCTTCAAGGCATTCTCCTTGCGTGGCAAAAAATATTTCTGTAATACCAGAAGCACCCAGGGGCCTATCAATATATTACCCTCGAACAGGGGCAGATGTAGCACAATGTGAATTAAAAAAAGATGAGTTGCTGCACTTGATGACTGTGATGTACAGAGATCAATTCATAGTTTCTCTTTTTTCTCAACCGTCAGAACTCCAACATGATTTTTGAATCTCTGCATGTTCAAATTTGAGCTAAATTTAGGTTTGCTTCAATCTAACTACTGTGAATAATGAGCTCTCCAGTTTAGCAGTTTTGATAAATGCTGCAAGTTAATCTGAAGGAGGCAGAAATACTTCATGTTCAGCCATCAGTTTTGCTCTTCTCATGCACCAGTGTTATATAAACTGTTACCCAGAAATGGGCCATTTTTCATCTGTATAACTGACAAAACTACCCTGTGGTACTTTGGTCAAAATCTCTAAAACTTCTATTCAATTGGTAGATAAACCAACTGGATGGTTTATGTTGTGTGTTCTAATCAAGGATACCACACAAAAAACTTTAAAACTACAAGCCACTTCTTCTAATTCTTCCACACACACTCATACAACACTTCTTAGTCTTAGTTATGTTGTAATCTACATGGTGTTTTCATTCTTTTTGTCGTATTCACATACTTAGGGATGCATAAAAAGCAATATGGAGTTCACTGTCATTGCTGCAACTGTGCTAGTAGGTGTGTACTGGTAGAAAGTCACTGTTCAGTGGCGGTTATTAATATTATAATGTGTATATTCATTCTGTATTCATGTCAATACAGTAACGCGTGCTGTGGCACCTGTATAACTGCATATCCCCCTATCATGTCCTGTTAGAAGAATGCAGCTGAAAGCCTCCCACTTTGATGTGCTAGTGTTAACCATTATGCTGTAGCCTGGGCTTCAGTTGAGTTTTCTAGGGCAGTCCAGGAGCATTTTGAGTGAGAGGAACTCTCTTTAGTTTTGTAACACTGCAGCACCGTTCGTATGCACGAAAAGTTATTTAACCCACCCAAGGTTAGTCGAAAAACAAGCAGAACTTGGCTTTACCTCTTTAATTATTTCACAACACATGCAACACATATCTCCCAAATAAGCCAATTCTCAAATCTCAAAAATCAGCATCAAACGGGTTGCCCTTTTGAACATTATTCACTTTTATTCAGCATGAAGAGAGCTTGTTAGACTACAGATTTTTTAGCTTTTATCTGTCCTACTTACTTTTGTTTGCGTACAGCTCCATCTATAAAGCTCATCCTTCTCAGAGTCTTGGAAGCCTTACTGATAAGTCCAGCTAACATTGTGTGCAGTCTGTTTCAGTAAACAGTGAAACTGAAAAACAATTTGATAGTAGTTCAGTGAATGTTGCACTTTCTACTGTGCAACCTTTGGTCAGAGCAAGTTTCTCTTACAATCTTACATACAGTAAAAATATTACATACAGTAAGATGTAGAAGAAAAATATGTCAGTTATTTTTCTTACTTTTTTACATTTAAAATCCCTGAGATGCATTGTTGAATCAATTCTATTTCATTTTGTCTGGCCATGATATTAAATACTTATGACACCAAGAATTCTCATCTTGTGGCTCAAGTTTAATTTATTATCTAGCTATGTGACCAGAGAAGAATGAAAGATCAAAATGTACTGTGACTTTAGAGGATAGCACTGAGACCACACTGCTGACACTCCAGACACTGTGGTTAATGGTTCTCCGAACATCTGACAGCGCCTCCTCGTTTGTGTTGGCTGGGGAAAAGAGGAAAGGATGCTATCACACACGATCAGTGAAGCTCTCAGACTACTCAAGTATAGTCCAGTATATAAGTATAGTCCAGGACATCTTCTGTAGAAAGGACTTAGCTCCTCATGCTTGTTAAGCAGCATTTGTTGTTAGAATATATGGCATAATTTCCAGATCATTTTTTATTGTGTCACTGTGAAAATCTTTGTACTTTGTAAAGCTTTTCTCATCAATTTGACAGAGGGTTTGAGCAGTGTACGGGATGTAAAACAGTGTGTTCATGATAGACGTGCCGCGTTATAGAATTTTTATTTTTTTAATTGAATTCTGTATCAGTAATTTTCCTGTCAGACTTTAAAGTGAGGACCTGCCACGTGCTGGTTAGCTACTCCAGACGCAGGAGAAGTGTAGAGGTCCAGTTCTACTCGGACTGCTAGGCAACAAGAGCTTTAATTCAGCAATGTGCAGGAGCAGGAACAGTGTGGAGTTGCCACGGGCATTAATTTAACCCTGTGTTCAGGTGCATGCTTCCTCCACTTTAGTTCTGGTAGAGGCTCTTCTGACTGAAGGAACAAAACTGTTGTGTTTTTGTGTGTGGCCTGCCCACTTTGCTCGTGTGCAAACAAAGATAATTCAGTGTTCTGATTGTGAATCCATCAACACTTTGTTGAAGGAATGCCAGCGAGCAAAATAATGGCACTCGGACGAGCATGAAGCCTGCTCTGTGTGCTGCAGTCATTAAAAGGAAAGCATGAATCTTTCTGTCTGTTCTTCATGTGCTCTGGGAGCAAGAGACTAGTTACACAAAGAGTGGCAGCGTTTAGAATCCCAGCAGCTCTTCAGACTATCTTCTTCGGTCAGTGACCATGTTTTATAAATCTGTCAAAACCGATATTCCTGTAAATAGCAAGAAAATAGACTCCACTCAATTTCTCTTTATTGCATCAGCCCTGAGATATATAACATATTACCATAAATAAATTCACTCTCTTCATATAACGCAGCAAAGCTAATACGATATATTCAGAGTGTTTCCTGTGCCTTCTCCCAGGCAGTAATCTAAGTTCCTTTTCTGACCTCTCTCAACAGTATTGGCCTTCTACTTCTGGGCAACCCTCTGGATAGAGAGATCACGGATCAGTACCGTCTAATTGTCACAGCTTTCGACGGCAACCCCGGAGGGGTGAGGCAAAACCTTTTTTTTTTCTAAAGCTGTTAACCTGATTCATCGGGGTCATTGATTTCCAGACATTAATAGCAGATTAGGGACTTATAAGCATGAAAAGTTGGCTGACTGAAACTAAGTACTCCATTTGAATAGAAAAAAAAGCCTATAATTAGTTTGAACTTGGTGTTTTAGTATCCTGTGATTTAGCCAAAGAGAGAGTGTGAGGTAACATTAGGGGAAACGGCAACACTTATAACTGTAGCACCACAGCAAACCAATAAAATACTTTAATAATGGCAGTTTGAAGTTGCCCAGGGATTTCCTGAAACTTTTCTAAACATATGTGGAAAGAAAGCACAGAGGGCAAAAAAAAACTTTTCCAAAGTTTTGGTGAAAATATGGTTTGAGAATCTTTATTTTATACTACAGCCTGATTCCTATTGGATGAACTTTCTTCTAATTTCTCTAAGTATTCGTCCAGAGGAGTTCTCAAGGGTTCTTGGCAGACATGTTAAAGCTCCTCTTTGAACTTTGTCAGTACTTTAACAGTAATGTTATGGTCTAGGGGCTAATAGGAGCATCCATCACTCCATAAGACCCCTTTGCCACTATATCCAGTTCAGTTTTTGTCATTTGATATACTTCAGCCTTTTATCCCAGATTCCTTTCCTCGAGAATGGCTTCTTGACAGTACTCTTCCATGGAGACCTTTTTTGATGAGGCTTCAGTGAGCAGTAGATGGATCACTTGAAAGGCTGGATGCGCCTCTCTGATTCTGACTCAAGTCTTTCTAATTGGTCACTGCTCAAGTTTGTACACAAAAAAAAAAAATCATGCAAATTTTTTATTTATCTAATGGAATGATATGATTGCATATCATTAATAAGTTTATCTTAAGTGATTAATTTATATGGGTTTAACATTAATTTCAGTTGTTGAATTTAAATTGTTGAATAAACATTTAAAAACTATAACAATTTACCACATGACATTGTTTGAGCATTTAGTCCTGAACAGATTATGTGATATAACATATTTAAACGGGCCGGGGCTAATTTTTATTGAGCTTGTTACCTATCGAATACCCAACACAGGCTTTATTGGGTTTCCTTTAACTTATTCTTTTCTTTCAGTTGTTGCCTTACTCTGTATACCTCTTTATAAAGTGGACGCAACATAATGCTGTAAGCCAATCAGGAAGTTGTTGTGGATTCCACGTATATCAAGATTTTAATCAAACATTTATTTGAGTATAATATGTTATGTGGTGTTAAGTTTTGGAAATGGACAGTTACAAGCAGTGGACCTTGTGCGTTTCACATATCAATTTGTTCATAGAGAGAAAACATCCTCATTTATTTACCGTTGTACCATTTTGATAATTCACAGTGTGAGGCAGAGGTAGCTCGACCCGCAGCAGTGGGTGCTTAAACAGACTGCAGGGTCAAATTAACAACGGCAGCATCGCTGGATATAGTGACCCATTTCAACCTCTGAGTATCTCTTTGGCCAGCTCAGACGCATAACAGCAAGATAAACGTCAAGTCCCCATGCTACCTCTGCCCTTAACACAAGAAACAGATGTCCATTGAAGGCTCGTCAACTGTGCCTTGAGAGACGTGTTACAAAGGCATTTTAAAGGCCTTCAGAAAAATGTAAGAAGTATTGTCCAAAATAACCTTGAAATACTGAACAAAATTGGGATCCTTGGAAGAAAAAAACATTTAAAAAGTAGTGGCAGATGCAAAATTGTACAAACACATGCATAAATGCATGCATGCTTGTCTTGTTGTACAGTTATAATATCAAAATTCCATTAATGTTATTTTAAGAAAATCTATTTCATGAAGATCATCAAAATGTTCACATTCGTTGTACTTATTTAGCGTTGATAACTGGAAGTCAGTTTGCCAGCAGTAATAATGTCACCAGAACACTGTGGGAAAGAAAGTGCCGTGGAATTCAGGAGTTCATGTGATCATGGTGTTTTTCCAATTTTGATATTTAAAACAATGAAGCATTATACTCGTAACTTATTGCTGCATGATTTAACACTGGGCGTGTTAGAATGAAATAATTATAGGACAGTGGCCCACAGAACAGTTCACATAAAATTTTGATTCAGCTGAAAATAAAAAGCTACAATAACTTCAGTGTCATCACAAACAGACTCCTGGGTTTTCACTATCATGGATCTGTTTGTTCAACTTCACCTTCAGAACAGCAAACAGCCAAATGCAAATCCGGGTTTCTCTGTTTGGCACTCAGATGCTGAGAAAACCATAAAATAAAGTTCGTTTTTTTATTTGTATTATTTCTATTTGTAGTATGTGATGGGTTATGAATTTACTAGTGATATATTACACAACTGATGGAGTTGGTCATGCATTTGCACACTTAGGAACTAAAGATAGTCAGTCTTGGTCAAGTGGATGTGTATGTCCTACATTTGCCCTGTATGTGTGATGTAACAGAGTAGGAAGGACACAGGAGACGGACGGTGATAGGATCAGAAAAACTAACAAACATAGGACAACTCATTTTTGCTTGTACATTAATTTTTCACTTGAACTACAAGCTGATAAACCAGCAACGTTTATGTGTTTGTCTGAGCTGCAAAACATCACGTAGAGAGTAGCTTAAGGTTTGATTTGTGTTCTCTGTGTTCCACAACGTGGAAAATGTCCTAAAGGGGAGATGATAACTGATGGAGAAGACTGAAGGTCGGATGGAGTAAGAGTGTAAAGAACTTATTCAGGGTAACAGATGTTCAGATGTGATCCCAGCAAGAAGGCTTGAATCAGCAGGATTAAAGTGCATGAGTATTACTACTATTGTAGTAGTAGAGCTAATAGTCCTAGAAGTAACAAATTAATTGAAATAGTCAAAACAAGTATCATTGGAAAATTTCAGTACTGAAAATGCTCTCCTTCTTTCCTTTTCTCCTCAATTATCAGAGTTCAGATCCCAATTAGTTTGTAGGAGCTTTTCAAGTTAATACCGGCTAATGGAAATTTCAAAGTGCTATAGATATTCTAACTCCTTTCACCTTAGCTAATCAGCATCCATGCCCATCTCCAAGCAGCTACCTGGCAATTCCAAATAGCTGATGCTCTCCAAGCAGTAGACGGTGATAAGAAAGCAACAAAACATTCCCAGGTAGTCTTTTAGTCATTCATCTCATTCTGCAATGTAATTAAGATATGGTAGTTCAGAGGACACATGGAGGTCAACCTGAGTTCTAAGACTAAGCTTTTCAGAGAAGCTCGCACACAAGTTGAAATACGGACATCAAATACCTACTGTCTTAAAATTAGAAGTCTTTTGAATAGGAAATATCTTGAAGAAGACAAGTATCCTTCAAATAACATCTAAAAGATACTAAGCAAACTGTTTACACCTTTCCTTAACATTTACCTTTGATTTGAACATATCAGTACAACTGGGTGATGCAAAATGAAATGTGAAATTATCATAGAAATGTTTTTACACACTTAGTTATTCACAGTGACCAGAACTGTTTGTATCAGTGTACAAAAAAATGAAAGAGGGGCTAATACAACATCGGAGGGCGTTATCAGAGATTTGGATTTGTAATTAGTTAGCGCTGAACTTTGGTAACTATGGAAACCAGGGAAAAATAGTGAGTGAAGAAAAGTAATCTTTCTCTGGTGTCGCTGTTCTTTGTGCTTTATTGTAAATTACTTCCTTATGTGTCCTCTTTTTTGTCATTTAGTTAACTCCTTTATCATTTTCATGTTCCATGAAAAGATGTATTGATTTGTATTAGAAAAGTAGTTTCACCACCAAGACTTTAATGAAAAGTTAATTCTCTTGTATTTGATTTTCAATTAATAATAGTAACGACATTCAATAACATCTGTGTGCATAGAAGAGAATTAAGAATATTTGAGAACTAAAAGGCATGAGTGTCTTTTTTTTGGTGAAATAAAAAAAAAAATGTTATGAGAAGAATGGCCACTTCACTGGCGATGCAGAGCCATTGATTTTTCCGCATTTAATTACCATGTATAGTCTCATGTGATTATGGAAATCTAAGAAATCACAGCAAGGAACAGGAGTGATCAAGGATTTCCCAGCGGACAGCGAGATGAAGGTGACATGAACTAGGTCGTTTGTCTGTGACACTCGCATCTCTCATTCGCCGAGGAAACTTCAAACAGCTGTCTTCTCTGGAGTGTTTTATCCAGCCGAGGACAACTCCTCCCAAAACCACCCACCCTCTACCGAAAAGGAGGCCATTCTCTCCATTATTAGTAGTTATGCTCGCCCCAGAGCACTGAGAGATTATAGATGCATATCCAGCCATTTTCTTAGTTGATTTATAGGAGTACTGTATGCGCATGGACTATGTCATTATATGAAGGTTAGTGGAAGTGCAATGGTCCACACTGGCCGTGTAAAAGATAGAAACCCCAGAAGATGCTGGCGGGAATTTTATTTTTTACACTGGCTGAACTTTAATATCAAAAGATCAAGCATCAAATACAGAATAGGAACAATTGATTAATTAATCTGACATTTTTAATAGCAAATACTCAGTGTAACGAGTATGAGAAGTAAAAGACGAAGAGTTTACTTTCATCTTATGACCTTGAACAGTTTCTTTTTTTTCACCAGATCCCTACAATTAAGTGCAAATATTGAAAAAAAGATGTATTTTCCCTTCAATAGCAGTATTACTGCTCCTTTATAGTGTGCATACCATGAAAGGTTTGCTTGCGCGGTCCATCAGCTTTCACTAATTAGTGTAGCTTTTAACAGAAATGTTAGCATTCACCAATGTTTTTCTGTTATCCTAAAGTTTTATTCTAGAATTTCATGCCTCTTTTTCTCCTCATTTTTAAAAAACCTTTATTTTACCTGATCCAAGTATCATGTGAATCTAAAATAATTTTTTCCTGGATTTGGTATAGGGAGATTTACCCATTTTCTACTCTGTCTACTTTGTCTACTTTACTAATTGTCAATAAATCCAAAATTATTCACTGTAGAAGTATACAATGTCTCTAATATAAGAAATAGAAAACCTCAAGGGCTCTTGGAACAGAACGTATGGTTCGTATTACATTATTATGAAGTGAGTCTGGGAATACACATTGGAACAGAAGGCAAATGCATCAAACATTGAAAGCGATGACAGGTTTCCCAAGATGTCCATGTAACAACGTACTTGCCAAATAACTGCAAAATATGAAGAGCGGCACAAAGGTGAAAATGTAGTGTTTTAATGGAAAAAGGCTGGCAGCCACACTATGTGCAGATTTATTTAATTTTTTATCAAGAAAGCTAACGCATTTAAAAATGTATATTCAAACATTTATTTTGTAAATATCCTGTTTTTACAGATTCTCAACTTTGTTTTCTAGTGCTACAAATGTATTTGTTCAATGATGATGGTTAGATGGCATGGGGATATTAGGAACCGTCCTGTCATTTTGGATACTTTATCGATCTTGGCCTTAAATCACTTTTTCTTTTCCTAGAGTTGTATTGAGTTCAAACAGGTCTAATTTTTTAACATTCTCCTTTGACAAGTCAACATGTAATTTAACACTTACAATTTTGCAGTATCACACTTTATTCAAAAGCAAATTAACCTCTTTACTGTTAACTTTTTTATCTTTAAAACAAATTCTCAGTGCTGAAAGATTTCTAATGATTTGGTGTTTTTTTATCTATTGTTTTCTTTTAGACATCAACTGCTACCGTGAACATAGTGGTCACTGATGTGAATGATAATGACCCCGCATTTAACCTCAGCCTCACCACTAATTTTACTGTCCGAGAGGAAGAAGCCAATTTATTTGTGGGACATGTTCTGGTAAGTGGAATGTATGATGAAACAGAATTTGTTTATTCTCTGTAGACTGAGAAAAAATGTACTGTTGGATTGCAGCCGTAATATCAATTGTTGCATGTTCATATTTCTTCAATATGTACAATAGAAAATGCTTTTCTGTTCCTTTTGAACACTCAAAGTAAATCCATGCACACATTCATACAAGGCAAGGCTCTATTTTATGCAGACATCACTTATAAAGAACCTTTCTCTCTCTTATACAAACACTCAGACTTTGCACAGACACACATAAGCTGCTTGTCTTCTTGAGTGGCCATTGCATAATTGTGATGGCTCAGTTTGCAGCAAGCACTGTTGCCGCCCATTAAAAAAAAAAAAGAATAAAAAATCCCACCTTTATTCAGCATTACTGGCCCAAAGCTGCCTCCCCCTTGGCTGAGCTTCATTAAGCAGCCAGACTTCACTAATTACTGCTACAGATTAATTGGCCCGATGTTTGTTAGTGGATTAATCATGGCATTATGATATCTGATGCCATCTATCAGGACGCATATTCTTGGAACATTGCAAATTAGGAAGTGCAATCTTTTTCTTTTTCACATTTGAATATGTTTTTTTAATACTCTGATTAATGTAATCTTTCACACAAATCATTCTAAGTCTCTCCAGCAAAGTGTTTTGAAATATAATTTCAGTCAGCACAGTTCCGAATTTAGCATCAATTTGTCAAACATTTGGAAAAATTACAGAGATCTTTTTTTTCACATCACAGATAAACTTTTGTCAGAGTAGACAAGATGATGCTTTAAACACGATTCTCCATTATACACTATATTGCCAAAAGTATTTGCTCACCCATCCAAATTATCGGAATCAGGTGTTCCAATCACTTCCATGGCCACAGGTGTATAAATTCAAGCACCTAGGCATGCAGACTGTTTTTACAAACATTTGTGAAAGAATGGGTCGCTCTCAGGAGCTCAGTGAATTCCAGCGTGGAACTGTGATAGGATGCCACCTGTGCAACAAATCCAGTCGTGAAATTTCCTCGCTCCTAAATATTCCACAGTCAACTGTCAGCTGTATTATAAGAAAATGGAAGTGTTTGGGAACGACAGCAACTCAGCCACGAAGTGGTAGGCCACGTAAACTGACGGAGCGGGGTCAGCGGATGCTGACGCGCATAGTGCGAAGAGGTCGCCAACTTTCTGCAGAGTCAATCACTACAGACCTCCAAACTTCATGTGGCCTTCAGATTAGCTCAAGAACAGTGCGCAGAGAGCTTCATGGAATGGGTTTCCATGGTCGAGCAGCTGCATCCAAGCCATACATCACCAAGTGCAATGCAAAGCGTCGGATGCGGTGGTGTAAAGCACGCCGCCACTGGACTCTAGAGCAGTGGAGACGCGTTCTCTGGAGTGACGAATCGCGCTTCTCCATCTGGCAATCTGATGGACGGGTCTGGGTTTGGCGGTTGCCAGGAGAACGGTACTTGTCTGACTGCATTGTGCCAAGTGTAAAGTTTGGTGGAGGGGGGATTATGGTGTGGGGTTGTTTTTCAGGAGCTGGGCTTGGCCCCTTAGTTCCAGTGAAAGGAACTCTGAATGCTTCAGCATACCAAGACATTTTGGACAATTCCATGCTCCCAACTTTGTGGGAACAGTTTGGAGCTGGCCCCTTCCTCTTCCAACATGACTGTGCACCAGTGCACAAAGCAAGGTCCATAAAGACATGGATGACAGAGTCTGGTGTGGATGAACTTGACTGGCCTGCACAGAGTCCTGACCTCAACCCGATAGAACACCTTTGGGATGAATTAGAGCGGAGACTGAGAGCCAGGCCTTCTCGTCCAACATCAGTGCGCTTCTGGAAGAATGGTCAAAAATTCCCATAAACACACTCCTAAACCTTGTGGACAGCCTTCCCAGAAGAGTTGAAGCTGTTCTAGCTGCAAAGGGTGGACCGACGTCATATTGAACCCTATGGATTAGGAACGGGATGTCACTTAAGCTCATATGTGAGTCAAGGCAGGTGAGCAAATACTTTTGGCAATATAGTGTATGTACATGTGGGCAATTACAACTGTGAAAAAGTTTTGTTGACACTTGCCCACAGAATCAGTGAGCAAATTGTTAGATGAAAACAAAATGTCCCATGCAATATTGTGTGATTTTGATATTGCATCTCTTGTTCTCAATTATATTTGGCATGTTGTCCTCCTTATAATGGAATCTGTTGTGGCTGATCTTTTGGGGCAAACTAACTTTTCAAATATGTGATGAAAGTATTTTAGGTAAATGTAGTGGTATCTGAAATGTAAAAAGGACACATGAAGGTAGCTGGCTGCTGCTGTACAATAAGGCTTCCCTGAGTTTTTCACACAACACCTTCAGAAATGCAGCCAACAGCTAGAATGGAGCTTACACACCAACTTTCTCCCTTTATCCTGCTTTTGGAAGATTTTCAAAGCTGGCACTTCAACAGCTTGAACCTAGAATTTGACTGAAAAGAAAAGTACATCAAGGTACTTAGCGCAACACTGTCCATTTCTCCATGCACATGCACATCTAAGGGATGCAGCTTATTCTCTTATAGCTGACCCCCCGTTCCCACAAGCCTCACTGTAGGCACAATGAGCAAAGAAATGTCTGAATTGGATATAAAACTGTTTTTCTATTTATTTTGCTGGCTGTAAAAACTGCTTTCGTGTCTGACTCCTGAGGCTCTATTTAGAAAAAGAAATCTTGCAAGACAGATTGTATGTTTTCATTAAGAGAAGAAATGCCAGAATAGGGGGAACTCTTAATGTATTAGCACACTGTAAAGTGAAGAGCTAACACACACTCAGCAGAACATTTGTCATTACAAGTACACAAGAAACACAAAGAATTATGTCTGTCTTGTAGCATCTTTGCTGCATCAGTGCATGGAAAAGGTCGGGTCGGAAAAAAAAGAGGAATGATATCAGTTAAGTGCCCAGTTTGCTAAACCTGTAGTTAAATATGATGCATTTAGAGCACTGTAGCTCGGGTTTAAAGGAGAGCCAAAAGTACCAGAATGTTACAACATGTCACATCTTCAAGTTGTTATATATCCCATTTCAAAAGTTCTGTTTTAATGTTTTTTTGATCATTGACTTGTTTTCTGGTGAAAACAAAATCTTTGAGACAACAATAATTCACCAGGAGCCTGTGAACATTTCTGCTGAACTGCAAGAAGCAGTTGTTGTCTCAACACTAAGGCAGGCTTACTCTGCAGAATCTAACAGCTGCAGAGTCTTGTTTCCATAAGTGACTCCATATTAAAGAGCTTAAGATTAAGATGCAACTATCTACATGTCTGTGCAGTATGTGCATTGCATCTTAATGACCAGTCTCCCATTTGAATCTTAACCATTCCAGTCATCATTAAGTCACTGTTCAAGTTTAGAGGAAAGCGAGTTTGAATAAGAGAAAGCTTTTGAAGGGATCAAATAAAAAGAACAAAACAAATGACTGAGATCCTGAAAAGCTGAGATGACACATTTGACTTTATCAACTTGCCCTCCCTGTTTATTGTTAAATGATAGATGCCATTGACTTTGTATAAAGTCATCTTCTGTATTTAATCTCCCCCTCTGTTAGGATGATAAATGATCACTCAATGATCAGTGAGTGGTTTTTCTTTTTCCTCAGGCCTGAATGACATATTGTGATGAACAGATTGTTGTTGGGTCTTTGTACTGGTATATGTCTCTTATAAGTCTTGTCTTGTTTAACAAATGTTGTCTCTATGAAAACATTAGCCTGCAGCTCGTCGTCCCATGAAACACTAACAAAGACGCCAAGTGACAGATGAGGGAATAGATGAGTTGCAGACTGGCAGAGTGGCATTGTTATTTATGTCCACTCAAGTGTTTCACATTTTAAATGTGATGATACGCTTTAATCAGCTCACTTTTTTCCGGTGCTGCCTTGATTTCACCTACAGGGAGGGACTCGTAACACAGCCAGTCACAAAACTGCAGGCAGCTGCCGACGAATGAAAACGGCAGTGCAAAATGCATAATGCTTTTAAGTAGCTTAACTGCTGGCCTCAAAGCGTTTTGGATTATCGCTGCAATAATTGGAACTGGTTTCCACCTGTTCTTATTTTACACACACTGACATGATTTAAAGACAATCCACCTGGTTACCACAACTGATGGCAGAGTCACCTCGCTTCACGACTGACAAATCCCACACCGTATAAGCCCATTTTGTGCTTTCTTAACAGGGGGCCCTGTACTCAGAATGCTGATGAGTGGTGGACAAATCCACGGGGGGTTGTGTCTGACACATCTTTGAAGCATTATGTGTGATAGTTTCTCGTGAGGCTGTAACCCCGAATGGTGGCTTTGTTTTCATCTCGGGGTTTACCATCTGTTTAATGGTGCAAAATACAAGCCAACAATTCTGTCATTTCACTTGGATGAAACATAGCTCTTTTGTTTTGAGGATGTCAATGTCTTATTATTGCTTCATTTTATGAACTTTTTCTTCCAATAGTAGTAAACTGAAAGTTGGAAGCACTGTACGAAATAAAAGTTATAAATTAAGTGGACATTATATGACATTTTTATTTTAGACTTTGGAGAAATACATTTCCACAGCATAGCATTGTGTACCTCTAGCTTCCTCATTCCTCAAATTTAATTTATCTTATTCCATTTCATTAGAGAGAATTTTAAAGACACCTTAGCTCACGATGATGTCCTTTTGCCAGAGGTCACATGAAAAAGAGTAGCCACGCCTTTTGGACTCACGGTTCTCACGTTCACTTGAGTTTCAAGGCCACAAATGAGAAATGGAACTGAAATGTCAGGGTTGTTTTGACGCGGCTGCATTGCTGAAGCTTTGGACATGAAAGCTTTGTAAATATGCAAGGCATTAAGATAAAGCCAAGCTCTAATGGATCATGTAATGGATCAAACCCTCTTAACAGCTGTTGTTTACAGGAAGTGAAATCCTTCTGCACTTCTACTCTGCAAAGTTATTGATATGCTGCATCTATTTACCTTCCGGATCTTACTGATGTATTGAAAAGGATTGTCCATGTTTCTCACAGGTTTTTAGCTTACTTGAGCAGCTTGACTTATAAAAAAGTCTGCTGATGGGATTTGTTTGATGTTCCATTTTACAAATTGTTAGTTACACATTCTGCTTCCATCCGATTATGTCGGCTGCATTATTGTTCAGACCAATTCTCCTTCAATTGTAGATGTGTTTGCGCCCTTTATAGTAAAATTGTATATAAATTATTTAAAAGAGTGAAACCTGTAAGCTGAGCATAACTTCTGAAGTCAAACAAAACAGTTCATTAGAGCAGATAATTCATAAGTGTGAGACACTCGGACTGTAATATTCTGTGTGCTCAAATACCAGCGACACAGTGAGAAATTATTTTAGCTTTCTTCTGTTTTCCTCCTCAGGCCACAGATCCAGACGCCGGTGCAAATGGCCAGGTTTTCTACCGGATTGTGAATCATCCCGACTTGTTTGTAATTGGTGTCAATGGGAGCATCTACACAAGAGTGCCACTGGACAGAGAGTTAAGGGGCCAGTATAATTTGGTAGTCGAGGCCTCAGATGGAGCAGTGGATCCCCGACGGACTTCATTGACTCTCTCAGTCCAGGTTGAAGATATAGATGACAACAGCCCAGTCTTTTCCCAACAAACCTATGTGGTTAATGTACCAGAGAACAGCCCCTTGGGAACTGTGGTGCTGAGGCTAAGTGTATGTTCTTTTTCTTGGTCTTTGAAACCATTTTATAGTGACGATATTGCTTTCATTTGAAGCTAATATTTGAATGCACTTTTTGCAAAGCATGTTTTGAAACTCAAAGTCGAACTTTGAACTGTTGCTTCTCAGCAAGAGCGTGGATGTTCTCCCATTGTACCTGTGGGTTCTTTCCAGGGGCTCTAGCTTCCTTCTTCTGTCCAAAAACATGCATGTTAAATAATTCCAGCATATGTGAGGTTCCTCACAGTTGCTTCACTTGCTATTAGACAATTAGCTTACTTGAGTTTTCTGGCATTAATGAAAACTAGTTTCAAACAATAGTAACATGTCATGTCAGCTGTGATTAAAAATCATTTTCCAAAAGCAACATATATAGATGTCCGGTGTGGAAGCCAGCAAATAGTTGTTGCTGACAAGGTGTTTGGGACCACTTATCTACTTTTGGATCTTGAAGTTTGAAAGGCTTTCTTACTGCTTTGAACACTTGAACTCTATGTTGATCTAGAATATGATGATCCTTGGATGATCTTCAGAAAAGAGTCCTTTTTTAGGAGTATAAGAACATCATAAAGTGAAAAAGTAGATCCCCAGTTTTACCAATTAGCTAAACCTCTAAAACTGGAATATGCAGTCAAAATGTTCAGGAAATGTTTGAGGGAATAAAATCAACATGTTCAAAATAGCGTCTGTTAAGATAATTAAAGACTAGGAAGAAGACAGAGCTTTACAATCTCAGCACTGATAAAAGCCAAAAAGCATTGGTGAAAAAAATTATTGAGACTTTCAAAAAAAGCAATTCACCTCCTGCAATGTTAGAGCTCTTTGATAAATGACCAATATGCAAAATGATTCAAGATAAAACATAGTGACGGTTAAAATGAATATCTAACCTAATGATTTTTAGCTTGAAAAAAAGTAGTGTGTCTTTAAATCGTTATTAGAAATCAAAATTTGGCATGGCTATGGGTATATCTGGTTTCATCTGTTTATGCATAATCTAATAATGCATTTAAGTAGCCTTTGGAAATTATTTCAGCTTTGAGACTAGATTTAATTCAATGAACTCACTTTCCTCAGTGGCTTAATTTAATTAGAAACTGATTAATGATTGATGGAAGTAACCCTTGCAGCATAAAATATGCAGAATTAAAAAGGAGTCATTAAAATTAATTGTCTGCAGCCTATTCCCATTTGCTTGTATGTCTCTAGGTAAGGGCTCAGTTTTTATAAAATCTGTTGTGTGGCTCGTTCTCTCTGCTGCTTGTCCTTTGTTGTCATTTATACCCTCATCCCTCTCCCCCTTTTTCCTCGTTCTCCCAGGCTGTGGACCCGGACCTTTTCTCCAATGTTACGTATCGGATCAAGACTGAATCGGCAAGGCAGCTGTTTTCTTTGAACTCTGTCACGGGGGACTTGGCTGTGCTGCAGGCCCTAGACTTTGAGGACCTGGCAGCGATGGGCACGGGGGCATCTTATATTTTCCAGGTGGAAGCTGTCGACCAAGGAGGAGTAATGCCCCCTGGGCAAGCCACAGTCACGGTTCGCATCACGGTAAGAGCACCTGATGGCCAGCGTACCATTACTCTTTTGTGTTCTATCCTTTCATCTATCCTCATCGTCCCTCTGAAAGTGCAGCACTGGCTGTGAATATGTGGTAAGTCATTAGTATAGCCCAGGATAATGGCTTGCAAAGACCATGATATTAAACAGAATTGAACATATAGTACAGTTCTGTAACAAGCGTTACTGAGATATGTCATTCTTTGCTGCAGGTGATGTCATTACCTTTGTAAAACACATTTTAGCCTCCTGCATGGCACCCTCCCACTGCATCGCTGTTACGAGAGCGTTGACAGATAGATGTTTCTCTCGAGCACACGGTATTTTCCTAGCTCTAAATCACTCATTAGCTTTGTGACAGCAATTATACCAAGTTTTATGAGGGCTTGTTCTCCCTTTGTTGCCTTTTAATAGATTAACTGCTGAGGAAATAAAAGAGATTGTGTTATGATACTGTCCATGTGTTTATGCAGGAGGGTTTATGCAGGAGGGTGGAGTAATGTATTTTCATTCAGCTCATTTCATTCATGTCTGTGAAGTGTGTGCACACTTAACTCTGCGTATGACTTCAATACACCCCTGAAAGTCTGCACTATTAGGCCATCTGTGTTGTAATGGAAAAAGGTGATGGTGCCTTATTCAAGCAGGCCTTCCAGCCTGTAGAACACCCTTTGTTGCGTGGTGTGTTTTCACCTGCACGGTGCCTCTGCTACCCAGCGTCTGCTATTTGAAATGACACTAAAATGAGCCTGTTGGATTCACACTGGCTTCCAGGGAACAAGACATGGAGTCAATGCAACTGATATAACTTTTTTTTATCTCATGACACCCCCAGAGAGTTATTTGAAGTCATTTCTGTTTGAATTTACCTTTTATTGTTTTGTTGTTCTCTTTTTTTTATTGTATTTTTTGATGTCATCGATTGCATGTTGAGCCTCTCCTGCTGTTCCAAATGAGTCTCTCAAACTTTGTCTTCTATTTTGTACTTAGGAGATGTGTGTCTGTGGGTATGCATCTTTCTGTGCCAGGAGATAAAAAAAATGCACTTGTAGCACATGCATATTTCAAGTAAACACAAGTGTGTCTGTGCTCGCGTCTTGTCACAGCTCTTTTTGTGAACACTTGCCGCACTCTGCTTGGTTTTTGTTGTTCAAAGTAACGGCTGGATCATAGATTTTCTGCTGGAAAACACTAAACCTATGCATAGATGAAAGTGAGGCTGCCCCCCACCACTCAGTTTATAGAACATAGTTTGTTGCCCATGGCTCAGCCAAAACATTGCAAGATAACGAAAATCCCAAGAGAGATGAAGATCAACTTCATGTATTTATTCCATACAACGGAGTTATTTCAGAGCAAAATGAGAATGGTTTTCTGAGTTTTAATTTTCTTGCTGCAAAGCAAGGGTTGTTCAGTTCACAAGATTTAATTTCTTTCCAGACCCAGACTGTGGTTGTGTTCTGCTGTTTTGTACTGGCGATTAAAGAAAAGAAAAAAAGGGAAAAAAAGTGATTAAAGCCATGTTGGTGTGATTAACTTCTCTCAGCAGTTTTGAATAGCAGCTAAACTATTTGATGCTCAAAGTGATTTTGTTTGTTGATGGGGTTTCTTATTCGAGACAAAAGATTAGAGATATTGTGAAGACTAATTACTCATCCAGTTGCTGTTTATTATCTTCTAGTGTGGCTCACAGCATATCCCAACTTTAGAAATCTTTTTTCTTTGCAATAGAGTTATGCTTTCAGTTTGTTTGTTTTTTTATTTTGGTTGTCAATTCTGTCTGATAATTATTTTGTTCAGGTAATGAAATGCTGAAACAGATGAAATCCATTCATTTCAAATCCACACAAAACTCTTCTAAAGAAAAGAAAAGGCGGTACATTCATGTGTTTCATGAGCCATGGTTTTCATTGACCTTGTGAAAATGGAAACTTTGATTAACTCTAACTTCGAAGTACAAAACATGTGATTTTTCTAGTTTGGTATCCATGTAAAGTCCTCCTACTCTGTGTGTTATTAGATTGATTTCTGTCTGCGTTTCTAATATAAAATGTTAGGAAAAACTACCAAAATACCTTGAAAAGTTGCTATTCATCAGCCGTCTTAATCTTAACAAACGTCACAAAGTGTGTGATTCCTATTAAATACATTGCTAAAGGAATTCTGAGAGAGGTATGATTTAGGAAAAAATTTGGCCACTTCATATGAACTGTGTGATGGAGCTCTTATTGAAAAGTTCCACTCCCACCTTTCTCTGAAAGGATGATCAGGGAAAAGTTATCATGGTATTATATTTATATCTTAATGATTGTTAGGCTTAATACAGATTAATAAGGACAGGATGTGTAGAAAAAAATTAAATATCTTAGCACATAGCAAACATCCAAGTTTAAGCTCAGTATCTCCAGATATTTTGAGAGAAAATAAACATTTTTAACAAAGCATTTGCTACATTTTTTTCATAACTAGACTTAAACAAGAAAAGGAAGGGAAAAAAGTTGTTTTGTGGGTTCATCCTTCTCAGTATTGCCTGTACAGAAGAATGAGAAAATGTTATGTACTGAAACTAAAATGTTTTATGCGTCTGTATAAGTCCAATGTCTCCGTTAACAGAGGCCCATAATCTTAACCTGTTTGTCATTCCAGGACATGAATGACTTCTCACCCATCTTTAGACAGACCCTATATAAGGGTATGGTCGCACCCAATGCAGAGAAGGGAACAGTCATCACTACTGTTTTAGCAGAGGACCAAGATCCTCCGGTGAGTATGAACTAGTAAACAAGAAACACAAAAGGATGTGGAAGAAATGTGAAAAAGCTTTACCAGTCTCAAGGAGGTAATGATCACCAAACCAGAGAATCAATCATTTTAGTTTACGGTATTTCAGATTATCCATTTTAAAGACATTTTCAACAGGGAAATGCCCTCATCAGAGATACACTGCTGAGCGTATCTTCATTTTGTTTTGCTGGCTCAAACAGCAAGGGGGACTTTTTCTTTTATTCTTTCCTGTCCCTATCAGACCAGTGCTTTGTTAGGATCTTATTTGAACTTTTGATTTTTCCTTTGTCAAAATTAAAACCAAGCAATGAATGAAGACACAATATTGATGCAATAACAAGATCATGTATATGATATTGTTTCTGGTAAGTTCAATTCCAGCTCAAGTCAAGCATGAGTGATCTTTTTGCTTTAATTAGTGTCCCCTCCTACCTGTGGGATATCATTAGGGCCGAATAGGCTTTTGTTCCGTCTATTGCACATAAGTACTGACGGATACAGATTGCTGTCAGTTATAGCTGTGGGTGGTACAAACTCAACACAATGTCAGTGTGACTGCTGTAAATCTCTCTTTCTCTCTCAGAGGGAAACAGTCACTCATCCTGATCTTTCTGCCCAACCACCTCACGGCATCTCTGAAACAGTTATTTTTAATGTGAACTTCAGCCTCATTCTCAGCGTTTCTCCATATCTACTTTAGATCTTTTTTCTGGCAGTGTTTTGCTGCTGTGCTAAAGCCCAAGAAAGGAGTCATTGTTTGCAGAAACACAGCAGCTGTGTGAAAAGAAGGACTGACAAGCCAAGATGGGCTGACAAAAAGAATGGATTAGATTTCCTTACTAGTCCACTCTTTCATTGACCCTGATATAGGAGCTTAAAGTATTTTATTGACAGCCTCACGTTCAATGACATTTCTGCTAGCTAAAAACACAAACAAATGCACACACACACTTTTGTTGAACAAGATCATTAAAACCAATAAGAAAGGACAGAACAGGCTTAAAGTTCTGACTGAAAATGTACTGATAACATACTGTTTCTTCTGAGTTAAAAGATTCAAATAATTAATAATAAAAATGACTTTTAACAAAGTATGTGTTTTTAGCTCTGAAAAAAAATCTCCATAGAAACAAATGTTCCGGGAGATCATCTGCTATTCAGAACAACATTTGAGGGGCGTGTACTTTGTGAGTCAAACTTTTGTTTCTGGTTATTCCTGAATCTTGAGCAATCTATTTTTCACATAGAACTTAGAACTCACTCATTCGTGTATCTTCAAAAATAGCAATTTGCCCCTCTCATATTATCTTTATTCTAAATTTAATATTATATTGAATTAGAACTACATTATTCTAAAGAAACAAAAACTAAGTAAATAGAAAATTAATAATAATAGATAAAAAAGTAAATAATGTATATCACCTTTATTGGTCGTCATCTTCAGTGTCAGTTACTGAGTTTACTTGAGTGGTGGACATAGAATATTCACAGTCCATGAATGGATTTTTACTCAAGAAGAAAGAAAGCACTGCATAAAATGTATTTTTATGATATGGGCATAATGTTGCTGAGGAGGTTTCAGAATTCAGTCATTTTTTTCCATCGTAAATTCACTCAGTTTGGCAAAATTTTAGAAACACTTTTGTGCTAACAAGCTTCCCAGGGGTTCCACTGCTGGATCCGGCTGTTGCTCTCTAGCCTCAGGTTTTAACCCAATCCTTATATAAAAGTGTCATAAAGACAGTAAAGCCTTGTGAAGCTCATAAAAAGTATATCTTCAATTTTAAGAGGCAAAGGGTTGAAATCAGGGTCCGTGATTATTCTCAATCAGTGGGTCGTTTTGAGGTCCAGTCTGTCAGACTAATTGCAAAAATGTCCCTGCTCTGAAAGGATGCATTTGATGAGGGAGTTTTTTTTATTATAAATAAATGAAAAAGATTTGAGGGAATCACAGGGGTGTCATTTAAGGATTCCTAATGAGAAGCTGCCTAAAGGGGGGTTATGACCATCTGAGATCTATTTAAATGAATAGGACTACGATGATGCATCAGAGCAAGTTTTCAGATAATGGAGATAAAAGAAAGAAACTCTTACATTTTTCGGGCCGGCTGAATTTTTTTAGTGAAACTCAAATGTGTCCTATCTTGAGCTATGCTTCAAAGCAAACGGGGGCTCTACACCTTTCTGGCATCAATGTTAACTTCGTAGACTGATGTTCCTCATGCTCTCCTGTTTCCTTCATGCAGGGCACTCCAGCAAGTTTTGTCCGCTACAAAGTGGACCTGGAAAGGTCACCGTACAGTGGGAGCATCTTCGATGTAGAAGAGGAAACAGGACGAGTCATCACCAAAGTCAACCTCAATGAAGAGCCCAGTGTCACCTTTAAGGTGAGCTGCGTGGTCAAGAGTGACGATATTAGAAACATGCCACATAAGCCTGTAGTATTAGTTTGTCCCTTATAAGATGTTTAAATGCATCTTAATCAAATTTTATTGACAACAAAGAGTTAAACAGTTATATTTGACCAAAAATTGATTTTCTGTATAAAAGAGCTCTCAAGAAATTCAATGTACAAGTGACATGCGTACAGGAAGTACAGGAAGGTGTAGGCTGAGACAAAGCTGTTGCAACAAACAGTATTGCCCATCTGGCAGAGTAAGGGAAACAAATTAGATTTGTATGTTGTCAGCTGTTTTCACAATAAAAAGAGTCAAAGAGTTCTATTAAACTGCCACAGTCAACCCTCTAAATGAAAACGTGTTCTGTACCACCGGTTTGTAAAGTCCCCTTACATGAGTGGTACCGCCGACTATTTAAAAAAAAAAAAAGTATTTTGAAACTATGTACATAAAACTGAACACTAGCTTACTGCAAAATTAATTAAAAGAAGCCGCTACCACCTAATTTAGTTAATTACGGTGGAGTCAAGGTAATATTTTATTTCAAGGAGATTTCACATGTGTTATTATTTTTAAGTTGAAAATTGTTCAGGTTAGATTCATTCAGATTTATGTACAAACTTTCACTGACCCGGAGCATGAATGTACTCCTCATTTGTATGATGTAACTTTGTTTGCTTACATTTGTAAATAAGATATGATTGTAGGAAACAGACAGACAGACAGACAGACAGACATATGTACACATGCTAATTTCAAGTATAAGGTTGTTAGGTTGTGTTAGTTCCTTTTCTCCTACTTTTCGGCTTTGTTGTCTATTTCTACTCCCTTCTATCTTGTCTGCCCTGTTTCCTTAAACATCCTCCCTATGTTTATTCTATCCCTGTCTGCAAACTCAGTATATCAGCCCCTTCCCATCGTCTCTCAGTGAGGATCAATGCGTTTATACTCTCTCTATACAAACTTTGCAGGCAGCTTACCAGATCCTACACCAACCGTTTTCTTTTTCTTTCGTTATAGTGTTTAACATACATTTTAAAAAAGTGAAGTAGTTCTTTACAAATTATTGCGGTTACTAAAACATGATGATTTTGTGCTTGCATTTGCATGTTTTTTTTATTTACATAGATTTTCCTACCCTTTTACAGCTGTTTGTGATAGCTTTTGATGATGGAGAGCCAGTAAAGTCTAACAGTACTTTGGTGGAGATCACTGTGCTTCAGCCTTCCCGCATCCCTATCTTCACTGAGGAAGAGTACAGGTAAGTCACTTCACACTCTGTGGAGCGTCTTAGGCTTTTCTGCCAGAGAAAGGAGGTCAGCGCCGAAAAATTATGGAAAGGTCACACAAACATAGTGATAAACATCACATTTGCTGTTACTAAGCTTCATTAGACTTCTTGAATATTCTGGTCAATATTTAACCACTTGATAAATTATATATTCCAATTTGATCCACTTTGAAGTAGCTTTTACACGCGCATTTATCATTTTGTGGTAACAATAGATTACTGTGTTCTTGCTGTCAGAAACTCTGACTCTGACCTAATGCTCTCTTTTGTGTGCATGACAGGTCATGCTTTATGTGCAAATATACATTGAAAGGTCAGAGAAAAATGGATGTTGCAGCACTATCAACTGTAAACCATATTTCTTTTTGTCAGAGGTTTTAATGGAGCTATCCAAACTGTATTACTGCTAACAATTGAGAAAACTTCTCAAGAAAAAGCTTCAGTCCAATAAGAAACTGGGGTATATACACCTAACTGATCTAAATGTATAAGAGAAATAGAAAGAAAGAGTAAAAGTAAGAAGTTAGAGAGGGAGATGTCTAGAAATCATTTGACAGTTACTGGAGATGTGAGCTGTAGGAATATTATCCAGGCTGCTTCTTATGTGATGATCATCTGTCCTGGGCCGAGGCTCAGAGGCGTTTGTCTTTGTTGATGATGCTGTGACTCCGAATGCAACAAAGAAGATGTAATTAACTATTAAACTGAAACAGGGCTTAATGACATGCCATTTGAAGCTGCTTCAAAATGTGGTGGCGCAATACACAAAAACTCACCGTAGCCATACGATGGGGGGGGGCAACATTATCTGGCGCAAAGCACTTAATAGAGGCTTTGAGTAATGCTTGATTTAAGTGGATTGGTTTACTGTATGTTGACAATGTTATCTTTTGTCACACAACTATTATGTTATGCATAACGTCGGGATTATGAGTCTTACCCATCTTGTTAGCACTTTACCTCAGGTGTTGCATCTGTGTGGATGGGTTTGTCTTTATGTCCTTGTCGCTGTCTTTTTCAAATGTATCTCTGCTTGAATATGTGTGTCTGTGTGCTTTTTCACAGTGTGAATGTGCTTTCTTGAGGGTTTATAATCCAGCGTTTTCTTTGTGTGCTCACGTTCTTCCCTTGTTCAGATTTATTCAGTGATTGATTCGGGGAACAGCAGCATTGCTGTTGAAGGGCCATTGATTAACGTTTTGAATAAGTGGTCTGTCTGAAACACTCACAAAAGGTCAGGACTATAGGCACAAGCCTCCGTAGGGTGTCACGTTGACAAAGCTAACCGCACACAGTGGCAGGTCTGCTGTGAGTTATGAGCCGTGAAAGCATTACCCTGGTGCTCAAGTCTCTTATGCTGGACAAGCTTCTCTCCAGTGGAGAGGATCCAATCTGCTTGCTCTGCGATGAACGGTCTCCTCATTCTTTTGCCTCGCTATCTCTCAGCACTGCCCTCTCCCCAAGAAACCTTCCAAACACAAATTCACTCTTTGAATGTCTACGGAAGATCTGGTCTGTCTCTGCAAAGGCAGTTTGTTATAGCAGCAATCAGGTGAGCTATGCCTAGAGCTCCAGAGCACACAATTAAAAACAACACTGCAGGGCTTTGGCTTGCTTAATGATTTCTTTTCCCCCTTTATGGTTATTCCCCTCCATCTGTCACAGGGAAATGAGAGGCACACACTCATTGTTGGGCAAAATAAATGGCTTGTGCTATTATGCAATTGTAGCAGCACGTTGCCACCTGCCTTTCAGAAGTATGGGACAAAATATCTCATTTATTTTGTGGACATAGAAATATTAGAAAATCGCAACCATTATAGAATTTTGTGATTCTTTGTGAAACTTTTTCTAGCCCTGAATAAAGTAATACTTTGGATTAGTATTGAAGAAATGTAAATTTGAATGTGAATATGTGACTCTTTGTTATACTGAAACCTCAATGCCAGAATTACAAAGTTGAGCTGAATGTTTCAGATCCTGGGGCTTCAAATAAACCGTAAAAGTGAATCTTACCATCCTCATCAATGCGCCACATTCACATTCAGCCAAGCATTTTAGTAAACAAAAAGTACTCAATTTGAATGGAGAAGCATTCACTAAGTTCTGTATTTTATCTTAATGCATCCTAGTTATTCCCTGAATATTGATTATTTTGTATCTGTAAATACTTCCTATCTTCCTTTTTCTTACTTTCATGTGGGAAAATAGTTGGAGAGCTAAATATTAAACATATTCAGTGGTCATCAAGTAGACTAAGCAGTTCTTAGTTCATTCATTTAATAAGCATTTGAGCTTAATTGACTTTTGGGTTCCATTGTACTCTTTTACTGCTCTGTCTCTTTCTTGTCTTCATTATGTCATTGCAGGCCAACTTGATAAATGCATTTTCACCGTGATGTGTAAAAACAATCACAGACCCGCAGACGTCACAGTTCATATGCACTTTTGGAAAAAGCACACCTATATTGCATACTTTGAAAGCCATATATTTATAATGATATCTATATATCTTTACACAAGGTAAGGAGTGATAGCCATGGTTTTCCATTTATATGAATGAAAACAATTCTGTCTTTTTGTTGCAAACCACCCTTCTGTTTCTTGCTCGTGATTTTCATTGATGGAGACTTGTAAAAGACCTGAAAGTGAATCAGAGTAAATATTTTATATTCCAAATTGATCACAAAAAACAGCCACATAGAAATGACATTGCAAGCAGTTGAGTAAGAAAGGATTATTTGTAATTGAAGGTATGTCATAACAACAAGTTAAAAAAGATTTTCTCATATGAATTTTGAGTTATTTGCATATTTAATCCCCAAAATGTAACCAATGTAATTTGGGGACATGAAGAACCTTTGGAACCTGATCCGTAAAGCTCAGTGAATAGCTCTTTTCCACAGAACAAGCACAACCGTTTGGGGAATTTAAGTACCGGTACTGTGCATGAGGGAAGACGTTGAATAATTTTTCCTTTCTCACTGGAAATGGAGCAATAAGCTGCTTAGGAACATGGTTCGAATTTGGGAAGCTCTCACAGGACCCCTGTTTTACTAAAGACTGTTTCTCACCCAGTTTTAGAAACCTGCAATCTTTGCAGTTTTTTGTTTCTTTTCTTTCAACAGCACTGCCCCTCCAAAATATACTCTAAATTGCTTAAGACCTTTGCCTTACTCATTCTAAGTATGCCATTTTATGCTCTATCTCCTCATCCTCAGCTTCTCACCTGCTCATAGCCAAGCTCCAACATTGTCAAATTGTTTCATTCAAAAGCATCTCTTTATTTGGTTACCGTTTTTCTACAGTGGCTTACATTTTTTAATATATTTTTATTTTGACTTGACCTTTTCAACCATAGAAATTCCGACTGCACATTTTGGCTGAGATACATTTATTTGGATTATTCAACCTACATATGGAGCAAACCAAAATAATCACCTATTCATTTGTTTTGTGCATTTTAAAAATCAACACTGGCGATGTTGGGGAAATCCAGTAAATCTGACTTATGATACCCTTCTAACCTCAGAAATGCTTAAAAGGGAACATAATTTGCAACAGTGATCCAGCCCGACTTCAAACAACTTGGACATGGAAAAACGAATCAGTGTATTTTCAAGAGAAATATCATCTCATATTTACCTGATAAAATAATTCAGTTCTTCAGAGGTTGAAGGTTTCCTTGATTGTTTACAAGGCCACTCTAACAGCTGTGCTATTTTATTACAGTTCCTGTTCTAGTGCATACAGATTGTGTTTTGGTATTACGTGTGTGTTGTTCACAGTCAGCATAGTATCTCTCCTGGAATGGTTTTTAATCATTTGTGGATCATAACTGTGTTTTTCTCCACATTTTTCCATGGTATCTCGGTGCATTCTGGAAAAACGGACAGACTGTGTACCTTTTGGAACAGTTCATAGTTTAGGTTCCATGTTGTGTGTGCCATACCTAATTTCCCACCCTGCAATGAGCATTACAGCCCATTGTTGAGTGGTTCACTTTCTTACTGTTGGTTTTATATACAGTGTAAACACCTATGTACTTCTATTTTTCCATTGGGTTATCATTCTTTTCCCATTATCCCCTTCTTTCTCCATTTAATCACAGCTGTAAGGGGAGCTTTTTCATGCCTCTCTGAAGGACATGATTGATTTTCAGTTGCAGGTTTGAATCAGCTGCATTGAGCTTAAAACTGTAAGCGCCAGAGGCATGCTGACCTTTCATTCCTCTGCTAAATAGGCAGGCATCACTTGGTTGTCAGATACAAAGTAACACTCATTGAACATATCCCAAATATCAAACAAAAGGTCAATGCTGCGGGATAGAGAAAACAAGCAGTGTGGCCTATCAGACTAACGTTCTTCATGAAAATATGTTAATCATTCATGCAGCTAAATTTGGTTTTATGTTGTTCTTTCAAATTCATTCTAATTTGTTTATGATCATTGCTATTATTTTCCTATTTTTAGTCTCACACAATGATGTAGTGGTTTGCAATGTCACCCCTTAACAAGGAAAGCAACTCTGAACTGATGAAGCACTGAATGTGTACATTCTAACCCTTTATTTAAACTAGTAAAACTATGCAAATGATTGACTTGATCAAATATGATAGATAGAATATAGAAATAGTGGAATTCAAAGTGATGGCAAACAGGAAATAGGCATTGACTTAATGAAGTTTAAATTCCCCTCTTGTTTTCCATTATTAATTGGGCTTTTTTCCCCCTTACTTATTTGTTTGGCTTAAGCTAGAAGGACACGTATTCAGGTTTAAGAATGTTATGACTTGTCTGATAGTCCCCAAAGCAAAGATTCTTTGATATCTTGATTCATTTAGCCTAATGAGTGACTAGCTATGCATGAAAATTAGCTACAGGTGAAATGCATTACTTTGGCTTATGCCAAGTATCACAGATGTTTTGGCACATCTGCCGAAATGATTTATGTTTAAATATGTGATTATTTTA